GACGAACATAAATAGATAGATAGATAGTTAGATAGATAGATACATTTTTTGATAGAAAGATAGATAAATAGTTGAATGATCTGTTCATAGTTGAACGATCAGTTGATGGTTGAACTATCTGTTGTTTGCACCATCAGGCTGCAAACATGTAGAAATTAGAAAATGTCAGTTTGTGGCAAAATTTTAGTTTCTTTGCTTTTCTCATTTTATTTATTATTATGTCTATATTTGTTTCCTCCTTATCAAGGTTGTATATAGCTGCACAACTCCTGTGATATACAAGCAAGAAATATTTTTATTACACTCATTATTTTATCCAGAGATATGAAAAAACCTAGTCCTCGTTCATGACTTGGAGTATGTATAATGTATACTAAGACCGAAGAAAAACCTAGCCCGGGTTCAAGAATTAGGAGTATGTATAATGTATACTAAGACCGAAGAAAAACCTAGCCCGGATTCAAGAAATAGGAGTATGTATAATGTATACTATAGACCAAAGAAAAACGTCTAATTTAGACAACAATTGACACGGTTTTGGGATCTCAAGCTTTTTTAGTCTTGATTAAAAGCAATTTTACATCTTAGAAATTAAAACCATTTTCTTTTTATCTACAATTCTTCAATGTGAGGAGTTAGGATAAAAAATATAAGATTTAAATGTTACCTTCAATTTACTTTACTTTGACGTGTCTTAGTCTCAGTGGAAGTAAATATTTCCATTTACTGATATATCGATATAGCGCTGATTGAAGGATTTTTAACTCTGTTTGGATAATGAGATAGATAGAAAGATAGATGTTACAGCCATACTATTTCTATTGGTTCAGAATAGACAACACACAACTGACTGAATCCTGATTGGATCAGGCGCTAATGGACTCGGCATACAGAAGTGATGCTTTGTTTTTTACTATACATTATATGCACAGGGTGTCCCAATAAACATGGAAATTTAGTGACGAATTCGATATCGTCTTTTAAAATAATTCTTTGATTTAGTACAGTGATACCAATTGAGAAAGCTGTAATCCTTAAGATTTTCGTCTGCTACAGGGTGTCCCATCCCATCATATTAGATCGTCAATGGATCTAAATTACAATTTTCGGGACTAATCAGTAAAATTAAATAAGACTTATATAAAAGTTTTAAAAACGGCTAGGTTTTTCAAGTGTTATGTGTTTATTTTGGCGCTAAAGCTTGGAGATAATCTTATATGATATGGGAAGCACTGTATAATTACAATTTGTTTGTTTATGTTTTGACTGCATACGGTTGTCCTTAGTAAAACAAGAAATTACAGTTTACAAACAGAGTAAACTTGTCCGTTTTCACTGTTTATCTTGCAAAGACATTTTAGACTTATCTTTACAGCCATTTACCGTTTTCATTAAATAAACCTTAGCAGACATAATAATATTATGGCTTTTGAAATTAAGTATTATACAATGCTAAATCATAACAAAGAGGATATCGAATTCGTCACTGAATTCCCGTGTTTATTGGGACACCCTGTATATCGTATAGGAACAATTGGGTATAAAAATTACAGTAAATTTACGTCTTATTTGACCTAAAATGATTTTAAGATTTAAAATCTCTATATCAAGCTGATGCAGATAATGTAAACTTTTGATATTTCAAAATTAGATTATTTGATTAAACAGAATACTTAGTTTGAAATATCTAAGTTGAACGTCATTGGGTTGCAAAGATATAGGGATTAGACAAGCAGAGTTTGTGGCGAAGGCTAAATAAATCTTTTTAAGAATAATTAAAAAGATGCAGTGAAATCTAATGGAAACATAATTTGTATTCTATTTTATTCCAAAGTTTCAGCGCACAAAATTATTTATAGGAGCTTTTTACGGATTTTTGATAGATATTTGTTGAACTATTCTTATAGATATTTTCCAATTATGTTTTTTGTCAAATAAAAAAAATTGGGATTTTTTGCACATCGTTAATAATTTTTTGATATTTTTTAAGCCTACAACATGAACCCTGCTTAAACTAGTTTTGTTTTATCTTACGTTAATTTTTATTTTTTTACTGACCCTGTCTGTCTCTTCAATTTAAAAACTTTTTGAAAAAAAAACTCGAACTCTGAATTAAAAACTGTGTGTATCCAAAGTTTCTCATCTAATACGATTTTTTTCATTCCTTTTCATTTCTGTAATACAGCTTATACAGGGTTACTCACAACTAATAAGACTTTAGAGAATTTAAACTTTCCGTTTTCTTGTATTCCTGATTCTTTTTTTGCCAAATCATTCTATAGCCATTAGAAGACTGACCTAAGGCAAAAGACTTAATTTAGGATTTTCATAAAAAAGAGTTTAAGGTCGTCTTTACAGTCTCATTTTTTTGTGGGTAATCCTGTCGGTTTACCCCTATATTTCTATTTACTGTTATATATGTAATTATCATTATTATGTAATCTATAAATATTTATTAATAAACAATGTTTATTGTTTTTATTGATTATCTAAGATCTAGAAGATAATAAATGATGCTTAGTCAGATTTATTCTATTAAAGGGTTTCATGAATAAATATTCTGTATTTTATTAAATATATATAAACTAGGATTTTCATGCGCTTAACGCGCCCATGCATCTTCTATTTCAATTGTGAACATTTTTTCTTTGTATACATTGTAAAACAATAACAAAAAATGATAATCGAATTTTGTTGCAGGCTAAATTTTGATATCATCCATAAACCTTCCTTGGGATTATGAGAGGTTCCACACCAGTTTGTATCCAATAAACGTCAAAACGGCTGAGCCCAATCGGTTCAGTCGTTTTGACGTTTATTGGATACAAACTGACACCCTGCAGACATCCTGACAGTAAAAATGTAAAAGGAGAGTCTTTGGCACAAACTCGGAATTTCTATTCCCTATATCTTTGAAACCCAATCTAATTTTAATATATCAATGGTTTACACCATCAGGTTTACACCATCAGGTTTACACCATCAGGAGACAAAAACATATTCGAGGTTGTTGTAAACACTCAGTTCCTATAAAGGAAAAGGATTAGATTATTTTTGCTGGATTTTTTTAAAAATATAAAAATCCACCGATGAAGAGTGACAAGAAAATCTGCAAATTTTATTTGTTTTTATTTTTATATCTGTCTATCTTTCTATCACTCTATCTCTCTATTTGCCTAATGAACTCCCCTTCCTTTTCTCGTTAACCCATGATAAGATTTAATCCTTTATGGTTGAGATATACATTCATATACAATATACACATACATATACATATTCATCTTAATATACATACCCAAGCATAGAAAAAAACATTGATCATGCCAATGTGAGTAGAAGTAAGGTGGGAGGAACAGAAACAAACATTGATCATGCCAATGTAAGTAGAAGTAAGGTGGGAGGAACAGAAACAAACATTGATCATGCCACATCACCTTTGTTTTACGCACATTGGTATAATGTTAACGTTTACATTTTGAAGCAAAAATGGGGTGTTCAAATTAATGCTGCACCATTGTTGGTTGGATTTAAGGACAAGACAAGTTAAAATTTTTATATTCAGAGGATAGTGTAGCAAGTAATAAATGCCGTATTCTAAAAAGTTCGTCTCCATATGTATTAGTCCAGGTATAATCCGTAAATGGATATCAAACAGAACACGATCTACATGGCTACAATCCCGTGAACTATCAACGCCACAATACCACTGGGCGTGATCTTGTTTGCTATGTCAACCGGACGTTAGCGATCAATTGATTGTCTAAAACGGGACACAATCCACACGGCTACAATCCCATGAACTATCAACTGGGCGCGATCTCCTTTGAGCTATGTCAACCAGGCATATTCATTACAAGCAGACCCACTTTTATAGAAAGTATAGCAGACCCAGTTTAGAGGATAGTGTAGCAGACCCAGTTTAGAGAATAGTATAGCAGACCCAGTTTAGGGATAGTATAGTACACCCAGTTTAGAGGATACTTTATAACAGACTTAGTTTAGATAAATGGATAGCAGACCCAGTTTAGAGGATAGTATAGCAGACCCAGTTTAGAGGATACTTTATAACAGACTTAGTTTAGAGGATAGAATTATAGACCCAGTTTAGATGAAACTTAATAGCAGACTTAGTTTAGAGAATAATATAGCAGACCCAGTTTAGAGGATAATATAGCAGACCCAGATTAGAGGATAGTATATCAGACCCAGTTTAGAGGATAGTATACCAGACCCAGTTTAGAGAATAGTATAGCAGACCCAGTTTAGGGATAGTATAGTACACCCAGTTTAGAGGATACTTTATAACAGACTTAGTTTAGATAAATGGATAGCAGACCCAGTTTAGAGGATAGTATAGCAGACCCAGTTTAGAGGATACTTTATAACAGACTTAGTTTAGAGATTTGGAAAATCAATTTTCTTCTGTTTAGACGATGTTAGAGAAAGAGTGCATAAGGAAGAGAAGGAAATAAAATTGAGGGGGTGGGGGAGGTAAAGGGAATAAAATTGAGGGNATATATATATATATATATAAAGTAAGATTGTACACGAAACAATTTTAACAGCAATACAAAAAAGGAAAATAATCTGATCAGATAAAAAGATATATATACATTATACATATGATAGAGATGTTTAAAATGTTTTTAAAATTCTATTGTATGTGTGTTTTTAAATGATACTAACACGGTGTCCCAAAAAAACGATCTTGAAGCACATTGTAGCACTCGCCATGGTTCAATTTTTAAAAAATGTTCATTTTTTTAATTTTTTTTTAATGTTCCAAACATTTCCGATTGATTGATTTCAATTAGAGGTATGTATCAGTAAAATTAAGAAAGTATTGACTGTTTGAAGTTTGTCATATTAGCTCAGTTGAGTTCATGAATTTATTTTTTCGAATTTTAAAAATATTATGGAACTTTATTAGTGTTTGAAAAACACTCAAATCTTCTAAACAATCTTAAAAATGCGCAATTATTGTTTAATAGTGGCGGCAAGACCTCAGTTTACAACACAGGAAAGAAACTTCCGTGGTTTTGAGTATCACAAAAGAAATGGTCACAGAAACTTTATGCCTGGTCTAATCATGGACTTTGGGAGCAAATTTCTCAATGCAAGACACCCTGCTTTATGTCATGTCAGAAGAATTGATAAAAAGGCAATGGAGCTAGGGACAGTACTCAATGTGAATAGTAAGACAAGTCCTGGAAATTTATTCAGTGGAAGATCTCGACATGTCAGAACTCCAAGAAATGTTGCCAGGGTAGCTGCAGTAATGAACACATTGTGCCAAACACATTGGAGCTAGAAATACTTCTCCTGTAAGCTCTGCAAGGAGAAACTCTTTAATGTTAAGCAAATCCAGCTGGTCAAGGATATCAACTGATATGAAATATCACCCATATCGGCCAATTAGAAGGCAGTAACTAAAACCTGAAGATTTACCATGAAGAATACAGTTTTGTACCTGGATCAGAACTCTCACAAATAATCAGCTAGGTAAACTTGTCTCAAACTTTGAATTAAATTGTTCTGTAAATTCTCAGAAGGTTCGACGGTATGCTCCTCTCAAGTCTAGTGATCCAGTAAATGGTGGCCGCGGCCTGCTCACTTTATTGTGGAGAAACCAACCTTTCCAAACAAATTGATGGTGTTTTGTGCAGTGTGAAGGTTGATGGAACATTTGGAATGGAAGTATACAGAAATCAAACCATGAATGGGGCTCGATACCATTCTTTGTTACAGTTCACAGCTTTGCCTGAATTAGAAATAAGAAAAGGTGGCAATCTGAATACCCTATGGTGGCAGCAGGATGGCGCACCATGCCATGTTACTGATCACAACATGAGATATCTGGACCGTAAGTTTGAGGGTAGAGTTGTTAGCAGAAGAGCCATTAGAGGGCATGACTGGCCGGCCAGGTCACCTGACCTAAATCCATTGGACTTTTTTCACTGGGGGTTCTTGAAATCCCAAGTATACACACCAAAACCAAGAGATTTAAACGAGTTAAAACTGGCCTTGAAGAGAGCAGTTGCTAGAGTAGACGTTGATATTTGCAGGAGAGCAGTTATGGATGTAAGGAATAGAGCAGAAAATTGTATTGCAAACCATGGTGGGCATTTTGAGTAGAAAGACCATATAAATGTTTTTGTATCAATATTCTATATTATTTTTGTAATTGTAAACCATAATTTTCATATATTGAAATAAAATATGAATATGCAGTGATAAGTTTTTGTTTTACCTATTACAATGTCAATTTCAAATTTCATCCAAGTCAAAATGACAAACTTCAAACGGTCAATACTTCCTAAATTTTAGTGCTACATACCTCTAATTGAAATCAATCGATCGGAAATGTTCCAAAGATTTAAAAAATGTACATTTTTTTCAAAAATTGATTCATGGCGAGTGCTACAAGGTCTTAAAGATCGTTTTTTTTGGACACCCTGTACTAAACTTAAAAATTCTAAAACAAGCTAAGAAAATGTCCGTGTTTCAACCATATTCCTCAATGAACGTTTGAGGCAAATCGGTCAAGGACTGCATGAGTTATAATCGGACATACAAAGAGCAAAGCAAAGATATCTACTATATTATTTATATATATATAATACTGATGATTGCATAAAAGCATGAAACAATTTGTTTATGAATAAAATGTTATAAGAAGATTGTTGCGTTTCAACTGATATATATAATATATATATATACAGGGTGAGTCAAAAAAAAGTGTGATTAGCAGCGCCTGATGCAAAATTGTACCTTGTTTTGTGCAACTCTCGTTTATGGTGTTTTTCAATCTTTTATGGAAATTTTTATTTTTTTGCTACTCCTATGGCCAAGAAAAATCCACAAACCTTTTTTTACTCTCAAAATCAAAAGTTCAGAAAAAAAAAATGTGTATAAATATTATTTCTATATCCATTCTATTATTTTATAAAGATTGAATTACAGAATCACAGAAAATTTGCAAAATTGTAACAAGAAAATTCGCAATTTTCAGTTCTGGTCTTATTTTTAGGAAAGTTCTTTAAATCCTCTAGTTTTTTTTTTCTAAAGTTAAAAATATACGATGTTCAGTGAAACCTGAAGAGCCACTGAAAAACAACGTTTCCTTACTTACGCCCTGCTTTAAGTTTTCAACTAAAGCAACATTCAGGAAATTATGATGTCTGGTTTATCCAAAACATCAAATTGATTAAAAAATCTTTTTATTTTGCAAAAATGTTCAAAAATAAAAATTGTGCGAAATATAATAAATTATACATTTTTTAAAAGTGCTTGACTCAGGCGAATTCAATTATGCAAACACATTTTCCAAACCTAAATGTGTATTATAGTTAGAAAAGTAGACAAAAACTTGAACAGCCAATACTTTTTGAGCTATCGCAAAAAAATTATAGGTTTAGGGTCTCCCCCTCCCCAGTCCGAAAAGGGTTAAGCTTATAATGGAACCTCCTATAGTTACTACTTCCCTCAATTCTCTAATCCTAAATTTCTGTTTGAAATTAAAATATTCCAAGTTTACCATTATTCAGAGTATTGGTTGAATACATTATTTATATTCAAATCCATCCTTACAAAATAATGGAACTACCACACCCCCTAGAAGAAGGCCTTAGAGTTTAGGTATAGGGTAAAAATGCATGTTCAAAGTCCAATGTTCAAGGCCAGCTTATCAATAAAAAATTAGACCGATAACTTTAAAAATAAATCTTAAAAACATTTTGTTTTTGTTTTAGACAATTACAAGAAGTGAGTTGGACACATGTTCCTACATCCATTTTTCAAGGGCTTTTCAAACATATAGTTTTCATGACTGTAGCTTTAGTCACAAAAAAAAATGTATGAGAAGTTTTAGATTTTTTTTTACACAGACTGGACTTTCACTGCCCTTTTATAAAAAGGATGCTTTTGTAAATTAGCCATTTTACAAGGAGGACTATTTTTTAAAAGATCTTGTTTTTTTCTAAGCCCTGTATTCATTTTGAATTAATTGTCTGTTTTTCTTTTCTTGAAAGCTGACCAGGCAATTTGTAGTATTTCAACTCAGCTCTGTATTGATTGCTTACACATGTTTGCAAGGGTCGGATTTACACATTTTCTAGATCATTTAACTTCTGGAAGATTTTTTGAAGAGAGTTTTTGTCTCCATTCACTATCAATAAAAAAAGATAGTGTAAAGCTTAAAACACCCCTTCTAATTTTCCTGTTCTTTATTTCTTCTGTTTTCTTATTTATCTTGTTTTTGCACTTTAAGACCTTTCCAAATAGTCCTTTAAAAGTCTAAGTTGTGGAGAAGGTAGAGGAGAGATATTAGGAGATTTGTAGGAAGAAGGGTATAGAGAATTTATTACTGTGTTCCTTCATTTTATACTCTTTCCCAGTTAGGGAAATTAAAAGGAAACTCATAACTGCACCCCTTATGCAAAATGAGGAGTTGTAAGCCCTGTAAAGCCCTCTTGAGGGAATCTTCTTTATCAGTCCAGTCCTCAGTACAGTCCTCTCAGCAGGTTGAGTAAAAAACCAGTATCATTGTGCATGTTTACCTATAAGGGGCTAAATTACTTCTTTCATCCTCAAAGAACCAAGAGTCTCTATATCTGTATTTAAATTGTATGTTTTTGATATATATCCAGGGTTCTCAGTGTGATACCAAACAGTTGAAGTATCTTCCACCGTCCACAACCTGAGAGTGGTCAACACCGACTTAAGTTCAGGTTCTCTAAGCAAGGCAGGATTCCCTTGTATTCATAAATATCCTCTCCAGTTATATCTGTTCCTGATATATCCAGAGATTTAAGTGTACTCCCACAAAGCTGAAGTATATGCAGCAGTCCTTTTTCTGTGAGTTGGTAACAATCCTTCATTTTCAGGTTCTCTAAACAAGGCAGGGTTCCCTTATATTCTGACAGATAATCTTTACCCATATGTGTAAGCCCTATATCGAAGGATCTAAGTGTACTTCCACAAAGCTGTAGCATCTTTAACAGTCCGTTATATCCAAGTTGTTTACAGTTTCTCATGTTCAAATTCTTTAAATGTGGCAGGGTTCCATTATATTCAGACAGCAAGTCTCCATTAACTTGCGTACCCTCAATATCTAGTGATCTGAGTGTACTCCCACAAAGCTGAAGTATATTCAGTAATCCATTGTCTGTTAGAAGTTTACAGTTGCTCATGTTCAGGTTCTGTAAACAAGTCAGGGTTGCATTGTAATTTATCAATATTTCACCAGTAATTTTTGAATTAGACAAGTTTAGAGATTTAAGTATACTTCCACACTGTTCCAATATTTGTAAAAACCAGACATCATCAATATTTGTGTCTGATATTTTACAAGTCAGCTCTAGAGTTTGGAGTTGTTTTGAAACTATCTTGAAATTGTCAGGAAAATGAAATGAAAAAGAAGAATTTCTTATAATTAAAGAAGACAAAGATGGAAGAGACAATATTTCATTTAATCCAGTTGATGTCAAAGAAAATAGTGTTCTATATGATGGAACCAGGTGAACCATGAGTATTTCAGGATGTTTCTTAACAAGGTACTCAGCACCATCATCTGTAGCATCTTCAACTTCAAAACCTGGAAAATGTAATGGAAATAATGAAATTGAAAATCATTGAGCTGAATCCTTGTTTATGAGAATTAAAATATTTCAATTACCTAAGACTGTTTCAACTTCATCAGCAAACTTGATGAGCTTGTCTGTTGTAAACTCAGTAGAAAACCTCCAGTAATGAACTAGTTTATCCCCACATCCTTCAACTCTGTTCTTGAGAGAAGAGGATACTCCTCTCAGCATCTTCTTACTCCTGTAATCCAGGAACTGCAAAGAATTAAATGAATTCCATGAATTGATAAATGAATGGTCCAAATAGTTTCATTTCTCATCCCATTAGGGTTGAGAATATACATTTAGGGGCATGAAAATACACTTTCGGTGTCATTGTAAACTTCGACAATGGTTTTTTTTGTATGTGTACTAAAACATCAGAAATGTGTACTGCATTTGGGGTGTTAAAAGATGTCTGCCCCTAATATCAATTAATCAAAATTTTTAATCGTAATGGATGGAATTATATGGACCCCGTGAATTCAACCATAAGACATTTTTGATTTCTATAATTTTGAGTCAATGAACTTCCTGTCAACCTAAATACAGATATACCTGGGTAAACCTCTCATATTTAAAATAAGAAAGCCATAGTGATAAGTTTAGAAATAGTATTGGAGGTGGGATAGGATGTTGAATAAGAAATATCTAAAGGTGAATGTGGAAAGAATGATTTTAAAATTGTTGGGAATATCTATAGTACTATAGTTTCAGTAGAAGTAAATATTTCTGTTTACTGATAGCGTCTATTAAAGGATTCATATCTCTAATTGGATAATGAGATAGATAGAAACATTTCTATTGGTTCAGAATTATCAAAATTATCATCCATTTTCGTTTTCTCACTGAACAATTGTTCAGTAAAATTGTTCGATCAGTAAAATCAATTGTTTAATAAAATCGTTTGTTCAGTAAAAAATAACAATTGTTTTTTCAAAAATTTGTTTTGAGAAATTATTAGATCAGTGAAAAAACTATCTTGTTAAAAGTTTGGTCCAAAGTATTGTTCGTTCAGTAAAGGGTTTTTGAATCTTCTTGCAGGGAAATTTGATGTGGTGTCCGTGTACCCTAGGGTTGGTTTGAGGCTAACAATTTAACACTTAATGTCTCAAAACCCAAAAATATTTTAATTAGAAATAAATCCATGCCATTTCATAGTAAGGGTTATAATCTCAAAAAAGGAATCAAATTATTCAAAGAATAGGTTAAATTTGCAAAGATATATTTTTTTAACTGAAAAAGAAAAAGATATTCACAGCATACAGATCCATTGTGTTGCTAAACTTAAATTATCTGATATTCACAAATATAATGCTTCTACTTTAATGTATAAATATATAAATAAAAGTAACACTTCATTTATCTTTAAATGGAATGTTTGCACCATTTGTAGAACCTAATAGGACAAAAAGTTTTTAATTGGAATTAGTATTAGACAAATACCTAAAACCTTTTTCTAAACTATTTATTACAAAAATTGTTCCAACAAATATAAAATGGTCATTTTTATAGTATTCAATTTTAAAACGAATATGAAAATATATCTAGCTTTTAGGGAAGAGGAATTTAAATATAAAAACAGGAACGATGTTTATGTGATTTGTAAGTTTTGTAAACCATGTTCCCTTCAAATTCACCACTTTTTTCCCCTTTTAAAATTACTTTGTGCTTTGTGTAATGTATTAGTTATTTTTTAATTTAAAACAACAAAATGTTTGTATAAAACTTTAGAAGGCCATGGCGAATCAAAACAACTAGAAATAGTTAGGCTTTGGCCTTGGCTAGTTATTTTTTACTGATAAATTATAAATGTAAAATATATTTATTTTTATGTTAGCCAAAATATATTCCTTCCAATTTAGGATAATTCTAAAAGAAAAGGAAGTTAGGTAATTATTTTTGCCGGCTTAAACAGCATACATATTGTGTCTCTTTAGTCAATCAAGATCAGAAATGTCAGTACCTGAAGAATATGCCTGATTATATCAGTACACATATAGTCCAGTGCAGGAACCCTTTCTAGTGTTAGCGCAGTCATTAGAGGGAGTACAGTCATCTTTTCTTTATCCAATTTTTCTTAATACAGTACGACACTGTAGATATTAATAATTGTCCTACACTGACTGAACTGTGTTGATATTTATCCATGGTTTTGATTCCATACTTGCCTTTCCTTCTTATTTATATCCTAGGAGCAAATTAAACAGATCCATTCTTTCATACACACTACACAGTATACCCAACAAATAGAATTTAACTCGACTATTTACTCCAAGGAGTTAACACAACTTTAACTCGTAAATTGTCGTTCCAGAACTCGACTTTAAGCTGAGATTTTCAACCACTTTTGGACAAGTTTTTACAACAATTAAGTCGGCAAAAGGTCGACCTTTAAAGTCGTATAAAAGTCGATTATTAATATTGAGTAAAATTCGATTTTTAAAGTCGAGAAAAAGTAAACTTTCAAAGATTCGACTTTTTAAAGTGAATACTAGCATTAAAACCCTGAAATACCAGTTCCCATTCTGTATTTGTCATGAAGAAATGGAAAATTTGTGTTTCAAGTTTGTAACTAATTCAAAACTGGGGTTTTTTTATGACTTTTTATTCCATTTGCTCTATGGCCGTTTGATCTATTACAATTTGCTCTTTTGACTATTTGCTCAATACCCTTCCTTATAGATCACGGCATTTACTCTAGCGCACAATTTATCTATTTACTATTTGCTTTGTAACTAAACTAATCATTTGCTCTATAAACAATTTTAAGATATGCCTTTTGGCTCTTTTCAATATTTGCTCTATGAGTATACATATTATTTGCTTTATATTAACACTTATAAATATGAACTTTAAATTATAATTCATTTACATGCGATTTTCTGTCTTCAGAGCAAATGGTCTATTTTTGTTATAGAGCATATTTGCGATAAAGCAAGTTGCATATAGAGCAAATGGTTCATAGAGAAAATTACGTGATAGAGCAGGTTTTATAGCACCCAAAAAAATGGAACTGATTCTTAACTCAAATTCTAATTTTTTAATTACACATTTGCAGCCTAAACCAATTTCACAATTCAATTTTTTATTTGGTCCGCAGAAGAGAATTAAAGTTGTTAATCTTTAAATTATCTCACAATTATAATATTTTCTAATTATAAGAAGTATTTTAATAATTTTTTTTTCATTAAAATATTTTTGCGCATTTATTAACTAAATTACAAAATATTTTTCTGTTTTTGTAGAAGAAAATTCATGAGTTCAGAGCACCCAAGTTCCTAAACATAAATGGCAAAGTTTTTTTTTTAATATTTTAACAAATCCGAGCAATGCAGTGTCTGAAATTAACATTAGTTAGATATTTAATGATAAATTGCTACTTTTTTAGTTTGAGCATCTTCATATATAGTATCTTTTTCTTTTGTATGCTCTAAATGATTTGAGAATTCGACCTTCGATTTATCCCGGACTCTTGTCGTCACAAATTTCGGGAAAATATTTTTTAAGTTCACTCTGCAAAAACAAAAACAAAAAAAAATGTACATGTATTTATTTACGAAAATATGAAAATTTATATTTAGATAAGATTCGTTCTAGCAGAACTTTCAACATGTTTGATTTCATTCTAATATCTTGAATTTTGATTTTTACTGTGCATTTTTAGCCATGATCATGACGAATTTTTAAGATTTTAAATGGATGACTTAATAATAGGACTGAATCTGTAACACTTAAAATATTCATCTTCTGGATGTTTGTGCATGGCCTAAACCACAAAGGATAAGAATTCAGAGACGATTTTACTGAGTTTATATTAAAAGTTTTCATAAAGAAAGCCATGGGTTTATAATATTGTTTCTCTTTAATACTCAATAACGGATCAACGCAAATGTCGTCTTCTCTGAAAATCTGCTAAATTTTATTCAAAATCTACGAACCTTTGCAATATCAGCTGGAGTTCTGCCAAATCTATCCCTATATCATATAAATGTAAATTTAAACTTTAAAATATTTAAAATGGAAGGGGAGGAAAATTCATATAGGGTAGAATCACAAAATTAAATTGAAAAAAAGTAAAAATTTGGAATAGGTTGAGAATCTTTTAAAACTGTCCGAAGCTTAAAGACTAACGCTACAGGTCCCACTCAACGTGAAAGAAATTGATTTTTTGCCACAAACTCAAATTGCAACCTTTGATATTTTAAACTTAGATTAACTGATCCATGACAGATTTTATGGTTTGAAATATTTCAGGTTACGACATTGGGTTGCAAAGATACGAAGACTCAAAAACTCAATTTCTTTTAGAGAGAGACAAGTTAAAAAACTACTGTCACGTGGGACGGTGGGTGGGACCTTTGACAATCCGGAAACTCTTAAAATCCCAAAGTTTATTGCGGCTTTTTACATTAAACATAATCTTGTACATGTGAAATGGTGTCTTTGTCATTAACTAAGAATCTTGTCTGTAAATTCAATATTTAAGACAGGGTCGACTTTGAGGCGTCGTAGCGCCTTGGGCTTTGATTTACCACCACTATAGCTCACGTAGTTCTTTACATTTACAATTTAAACTTGAGGATTACTCTATATGGACAGTATATTTCTGTGAATTTCAGCGAAATAAGAAAGATTTTTTTGTCTCGTAACTAATGGGTTAACGCACTTATTTCTAGCTTCGGTTTTTAAAAAGTGATTTTCTTCTATTTTGCTTGAGAGCTTAAGACCTCGAAATAAAGGTAACAAGACAGATTAATTAGAATAACAGACAGAACACTAAATGTCGTCTTTTTAAGATCTCTGGGTGTTTCGTTCACAATAACCTTGAGGCAGCAGCCCAAAGGAGTTACGTGTAGTTGGCGTAGAACAAAGACAGAAAGAGAGCCTGCACATAACTCCTTTGAACTGCTACCTAGGGTTATTGTGAATGAAACGCACAGAGATTTTGAAAAGACGACATTTAAAATTGCTATTAAACAGTTAATTTGAACTTTTCCTGGCTTCAAGACTAGCATTGGCATTAACTAGAATCCGGGCACAGTTTATGGATCCAACCTAATTATACAAGAAATATAAATAAGTTGCAACTTGTAGTCAGAGATAAAATGGTTACAGAGACATAGATAAAAAAGATAAGATATAAATTTAAATGGTTGCAGTAAGCATTTGGAAAAGATTATATGAAGGAGCAGAAACAAGATAACAATTTACAGATTAATAACAAAGATAATAGAATAGGAAGACGACATTATAACACGTTTTTAATTGCATATTTAATGTTGTTACAAAGCAAATGGTCTCATTCTTATTGAACTTTCTAAAGCCATAGCTTGATTCTTAAAGTCGTCTTTTCTATTTCAGAGTTTTCTTGATATTATTGGGACAAAAACAAAAATATTCAACAAAATCATGTTATTAAAAATACATTTTAACCTGTGCTGCGCCATGTAGAGGTGTTGTCCCATCTGAAAAAAGGAATAATTTACACATTTGCACTTTTTGTGGTCTCATTTGTTAATTACCAAAAAAAATTTGCTCGTTACCCAAGTTTTGGTTTTTTGATTCCTCAAAAAATTAAAAACAATAATTCATGAATTTTTGTTTGTTAAATTGATCAAAATTATTATATCTACAAAGTTTTAAAATGTTAAATAATATTTAATTTTCTAAAATCTTCTTTTCAAAAAGCACATCAAAGAAAGACGACGTAAAAAAGTCGCTTTTCCTTGTGAATAAAATTACCTTCGTCTGGGATAGATAGATCACACTGTGCACTAACAAAATAGTTCACCACAGCCTCTTGTCTTCCTGTACAAAACAATATTTAATAATGTTTTGAAAACAACAAAATTCTAGACATTCTGGTAAATTATAAACATAATTGGAAATGCCAGGACTATGGGAATTTTGTTGTTTTTGTTTTTTAAGAGTCAAAACTCGACACGATATTTAAATAGTCCTATTTTGTGGACTATACAAATTTTTTTCGGACAATAAGGTATCGTTTTCCATACTCAAACAAATTATACATTCATTAAAAGCAAATCTAATGAGTTCCCACACAAAATTTGGACCCAATCGGTTCAGCTGTTTTGACTTTTATTGGACAATAACAGACACCCGTGCCCCAGACGTACAAGCAAAGTTTATGTATAGATAGGTGTTATAGATCATTTCCCCAACAGCAATTTCCCCAGTTTTACAACTTCCCCAACATAATATCCTCAGCTACAACTTCCCCAACAGTAATTTCCCCAGTCACAACTTCCCCAACAGCAATTTCCCCGGTTACAACTTCCCCAACATAATATCCTCAGTTTCAACTTCCTCAACAGTAATTTCCCCATGCAGTAAAATTCTTAATTTCCCCCACATGCAACTTCCCCAACAATAATTGTCTCAAAATGAAATAATTGAAATACATTAATGTTTACAAACTTTACAGACTTATAAAAAATCGCACAGAACCGAATTCTCAATATCTGGCAGAACATTATTTCTCACATTATTTTGGGTTAGGTTAGGTTAAGACAATTTCTGGGCCGAGCGCTGGGTCTATGATGGGCTAGGGGGCCGACCGCTGGGTCTACGATGGGCTAAATAAGGGGCGTGAAATAATCAACATTCAACATTAATATTTTACTGCATGAGGAAGTTGCTGTTGGGGAAATTGCTGTTTTTACTGCATAGGAAAATTGCTGTTGGGGAAATTGCTGATTTTACTGCATGGGGAAATTGTTGTTGGGAAAATTGTTGCTGGTGAAGTTGCTGTTAAGGAAGTTGATGTTGGGGAAGTTGATGTTGGGGAAGTTGCTGTTGGGGAAGTTGCTGTTGGGGAAGTTGCTGTTGGGGAAGTTGCTGTTGGAGAAGTTGCTGTTGGGGAAATTGCTGTTGGGAAAATTGCTGTTGAGGAAGTTGCTGTTGGGGAAGTTGTCTCGGGAAAGTTGGTTGGGGAATAACCTAATACTTATAGATATACCTAAAACAGCGTAGTAAAGTGGTGTGCAGTGCTCCTCACTAAAGCATAAGAAAAAAATGTTAGACTAAAAAATGTCCAAAATATCAATTTTAGTATTTTACAAATACGGGGTTGTCCATAAAGATTAACACTGTAGAAGATACAAAAAATTGAAAGTTGGGATTAGAAAAAAATCTAAAAAATCTAGAATTGTTTTTTCGACAATTTAATAAAAATGTATAATTGCACACAAACGTTGAAATTCTAAAAAAATGTTTATGTACAGGGTGTCCCATTAAACATGGGAATTTAAGACTACTTCTAAATTGTCTTTGTTCCTTGCGAACGTTAACACAATTTTAGTAGTATTCTTGAAATAATTAATTTTATTTGTATTCTTTAAATAATTAAAACTTTTAGTCGTGGTAATTCTAAAATGTGGTTTCCTATTTTTGTACCTTTGAAATTAACGGAGATATTAAGAAATTTTTCCAGATTTAAATTCTATACAGTAACAGCAAAATCATTAAAATATTTGTTATCTTTCTTTGTCAATTAAAAGAAATCAGATCTCACTTTGGAAAGCTTCAAAAACGCACACTCTTCAATAGATAGATTTTTATGTAATTTAACAACTTTCGTTAGAAAAAAGCTTTTTGCAATTTTTGTATGTATGGGGCTATGCAATAAAGTATTTGAGAGTTGGTGACGTAACCCCAATGGCCAAGTAGAGTAAAGGCGGTCTACAAATTTGATGACTAACTTTCAGAGTTGTCTAGTTATTCTTTGGTATATTTAAAATTTTAGCAACACTTAAACACTTTGTGATATTACTTAAGGTTATTATACTAAACAATTTTCTTTAGTAGAAAGCAGTACAGTAATGAAGACTATAGAAGGCAAAACGTGACAGTACAGAAAATGAATAAGCCCCTTCTGAAATTCACAATATTTTTGAAAACGAGCAAAATCAATTTCTTAGAACGAATGAATAAACTAAAGGAAAAAATCGAACACACCCATCTCTACCTTCAAGTGTAAAAATACTTGCCTGAGAAGATTCTTGTCAGCCCCTGCACTTACAAGTTTTTTCACGATTTCAAGATGCCCCTGAAACAAAAATTTTCAAATTTCAAAAAAATGTTTTTATGTAAAAATTATGCTCGATGCAGGTTGATTCTAAAAAGTTTTCTAAAGGAAATTCAATTATAATTGTGATCTTAAATTTATAGACTAGTAAATCCGATTAATTAATAGATTTTTTTGTGGAATTTCTAGAAAAGTGACTTGCGCTTTTTTACTGCAAAAAAAAAGAAATTAACAGAATTAAAGATGTTTTCGTCAACAATATTGATCGGATTAAGGTTTCATGGGTACTGTTGTAAATCAGGCATGCGCTCTTTAATGGGGGTTGTATTTAAATTTGCAATGAGAGACCCCTTGTATAATCTTTGTATTTTCCTACTAAAATAATGTACACCTTGCCTGCTGCGTAGTGTAGAGGAGACCCATATAAACCTAAAATATTTATTTTTTAGTTTACAATATTTTAAATATAAATTATAAGAATTAATGTTTTTACTGCAACAAAATATACAAATTCAAAGAAACAATCTTAATTATCTTGTGGTTTCGTATTAGTATTATATCGTTAGAACTGACGAGGGTCAACCCAGACCGAAATATATTTTCAATAAATGTGGAACTAACATCTACTTTTTTACTCTACAGAGATTTGGTCCATCACCATTACCGAAGTTTAAATATTAGTTTAAAACAGGAACTGGATTTAATGAATTGTATACAAACGATCGTTTTTTAAAAGATATTAAAATGAATGAATCTGAGTTTTCTGAAATTAATTGATTTTTTTTTCAGGAAGATAAGGTTATTAAAATTGTATTAAATGTTTTTTATCGAGAAAAATAATCAGAATATTTTCTGTTCTTGGATTTCTGATCAAAAAATGTATTTTTCTTTAAATATTGTTAAATATTTTAAAATGTCGTTAAATATTGTTAAGGAAGCGTCGTCGTTAACTAACATCGTCTCAAACCGTCGTTAACAAAGGGTCGTTTTCAAAAACATAAAAACAATAGTTTTTTATAACGAAAAACTATTGTTTTTTATAAAACAATATTTAAAAAGAAATATCTATACAATTCATATAGTGAAGTTTTTAACTAAACTTTTAAAAATGTAAACAATATTATAGATAAAGCTTTGTTTAACGAAGGCTTATTATCTTGAGTTTCCTGAACAGTATGGTGCGCTAAGAAACAAGAGACAGTGAGATGAGCGAAATAATTTATAGAAGTTTATTTATATTTTATGTGATGATCACGTTATATATAAATATATTCTCAATCAACACAATAACAATAATACTAACAATAATACTAATTCTTGTGGATTCTACTGATGGTATGAAAAGAATGCAAAATATTCATAAAAGAAATGTTGAAATGGACAGAACTATATATCACTATATGAATAGTATTGAATTTAAAGATGAATTAATGACCAGAAAGACCAGACTTCAGGAGATAAAAAGTATAATGGATTCAAAAGATCAGTTTATATCAAATAGTGTTTATTACTTAGAAGAGGAATTAAAGACCAAGAGGACCATGCTTGAGGAAATAAAAAGTATGATTGATGTGACTGCAAAAGCAGAATTTCCAAGTACAAATGTCCAGGCCCTAGAAAAGGAATTGAAGATCAATAAAAACATGTTGGAGGAATCAAAGAGAATTCTGGAGTCCAAAAATCAAATGGTGGCAACATTGGAACGAAAACGCAACGAACTTATTAAACAAACTGAGGAAACAGATGTCACTTTGGCTTTTGTTAAAAAACTCTTAAAAAGTATGGAGTTTATAGTATCAGACCCAGTTTGTCCTGTCGAATATACATCCATTTGTGGGAAGCAGATCAGATTAGAGGAGATGACCAAGCACTTAGTGGATTGCCAACACTTGGACAAAAGAGAACGTACTATCCTAATTAACACGGACACAGAAGAACGCTGGCATAAATCAAACTTTAAGCAATCTAATCAACCTATTGTATACAAGTTGGGAGACTCTGAACAATATTTTATCTTACAAGGAAGAAGTGATAATTCTACCACATTCAGTTTTTTTATGATGCATCATTCAAGAGAAGATTTTTCTGGTCAATATCTTGTTCGCCTAGAAATCTATGGCGAAACTAAGAATATTACAAAAACCAAGATGCTCAGATGTGCACCTATAGGGATATGTCTGGAGGATGCTAGAAACCATTTGTACACCATGGATATCAGCCATGAAGATCTGGAAAAGATTAGTGTCCGAGAGAACCCAACAATTGATGAATCAAAAAAGTTTGAGTTAAATGTGAAGTTTTCTGTGATGGTGATTAAACCATTTAAAAGAAATGACAAGATTGCTAACAGATGTGCCATGCAATAGTTATTTGTATCATTTGCAGATCTTATTAAGAATAATTTAAAAGCTTTAATTATTAACAAAGTTTAGGAAATAAACGATAAAATTCGGATATTTTTAAGTTTTATGATTGTTTAATATGCAAGAACTGATAAGCGGGGCCATTTTAATAAAAATAAAATTACAAAAATTGAGATATGATAAAGATTTTTGTCAAAAAAAAACATCGACTGGCCTTTCGACTGTCTATCTTATGCATAACAAAAATTTGTCCTTTTAAATACTTTATCTTAAAGTAATTTCAAAGTGATAGTTTGTTTATGGTTCATTATAACCTACTTTGATTTTATTATGCTTTTTGCTTATTATACAATACATAATATTTACTGAAATTGACTGCAATATAGTGTAATTTGAAGCAACCCTCCAGTTCAAAAAGAGTTGCTTGTTGAATAATTACAACGACACCCTGTAAAACTGTGTTATAAAAAAAATTTGTTATTTACTTAAAAAACAAATCTTTTCATTCAAATTTTCAAAATCGCTGGTTCAAAGAAAATCTTGAATTTTAGAGAATATTTTAAGTTAAAGTTTAAAAGATACCTGCGTAAGTAAGGTTATCAAGGGGTACTTTGCACTGTAAAAGTAGTTCTACAACATCCACAAATCCTAGAAAATTTGCACTGTCTGAATTTCTGCACGTCCAATTTTGGCTTTATCTAGGTTTTCCAGGTTTTCTAGTTGCGCGAATATTTTTGTTTTGCCGAAAATTTCGCAATTTATTTGCTTTCCTTTCATAGAAAAAAATGAATAGGTTTTGCTTTCTTTTGCAAAATAATTTTCGCGAAAAGACGCAAACTTTTGAAATAAAGTTTTTATAATTGCTTTATCTTTCCAGCCCGTCACTATAGATCTTTGAGATTTCAAACTTTAAATTCTGTTAGATCAAATAATCTAAGCTTAGAATATCAAAGGTTTACACCATCAGGCTGTAATTATAAATTGTAAAAGAAAATATGAGTATGTAGCAAAGAGAATTTTTAATTCTAGGAGTTAAATTGAAACGTTGATATTACCTCCAGATGCTGCTAAATGAAGAGGAGTATATCCTAAACAAAATTAATTTTAAAAATAAAATAAGTAATCTTTTGAAAGAAGACATTGATGCTTTTTGTTTTTTGTTCACCCCATTACATAATATAAATCATTTCTAAAATTTTTAAAAATATGGTTTATTTTTTCTGAAATAAAAAAACTTGTTTTTAGTTATCAAAGAAAAAGAAAAAAACAGTTTTCATCAAAGAATGGAAACATCCCACCAACAATTAATTTAAGATGTATCTTTCGTTTTCAGAAATAATTCCACAACCACAAACTGAATTTTTGAGATTTTTTGCTTCTCAAATATTTTATTTTTATTTTTATTATATTTTATAAATTAACAATTAATGAGGGGCCCAGTGATCCCCGTGGAATTAAAAAAAGATATGATTTAAAAAATAATATTTTTGAAAAATTACGAATTTTAGATTTTTTAGCCTATGTTACTCCCAGGGTAACCATGGGTTCCCTCAAAAAAAGTCAGCCCTTAGGCCGTCTAAGGGAACAAATATACGAATGTCTTGTTTTATCACATAGATTATTCTTTGTTGCTAATTAAAGTGGAAATAATTTCAAAACTGTTCACAAATTTTGGTTTATACTTTTTTGTATAAAAAGGGATCATTTTTATTTTCTGAAAATCCGTATCCAGAGCTGAAAACTTTAGAATGGTGAATATCAATATTAATGCTTAAACTCCTTGTTTTACTAAACCCAAGATTATTTTAAAATGCATTCGATATCAAAGAAAAAAGTTAAAAATTTAACCAATCAACGTGTCCTGTTAAGATGTACTCTTTAACTTTTGAAAAACCGGTTTTGATTTTAAGAAGAAAATCAAAAGTGTGAACATTGGATAATCAGGATGGATAGGATAGATAGATTAAGCGGTCGTGATTAAGGATATCTCATTCTAAAGTTGTCAGCTCTGCAGACCTGTATCCGTACTCTGGGATGGATTAGCACCACAATTCAACAACATTTCACAAATCTAGAAAATTATTAGGGTTTTCTTCAACCTTCAACATTAAAAGAAGAGTCATCAAGTTTTGAAGTTAAGTCTCTGCAGCATGGAGATATTACATTTCCTGTCTATTAAGCACAAAGGTATTATATTTCCTGCCTATGAGCCATAGCATTATATATTTCCTGTTTATTAAGCACAAAGGGATTATATTTCCTGCCTATGAGCCATGAGCATTATATATTTCCTGTTTATTAAGCACAAAGGGATAATATTTCCTGCCTATCAGCCATGAGCATTATATGTTTCCTGTTTATTAAGCACAAAGGTATTATATTTCCTGCCTATGAGCCATGAGCATTATATATTTCCTGTTTATTAAGCACAAAGGGATTATATTTCCTGCCTATGAGGCATGCACATTAAATATTTCCTGTCTATTAAGCACATGGGATTATATTTCCTGTCTATGTGGCATAAGCCTTAAATATTTCCTGCCTATAAAGCACTAAGGGATTATATTTCCTGCCTATGTGAAATAAGCCTTATATATTTCCTGCCTATAAAGCACTAAAGGATTATATTTCCTGCCTATGTGACATGAGCCTTATATATTTCCTGTCTATATACAACGAAAGAATTATACTGCCTGCCTCTTAGCCCTAAAGGAATTATATATCTAATCTTTAAAGCATGAAGAAATTATATTTCCTGCCAAAAGACAATAAAGCAAAACGAAATAACCTGAATATTTCCTGCCTAGAGACAATAAAGCATGAAGAAATTACCTAAATATTTCCTGTCTAAAGACAATAAAGCATGAAGAAATAAATTGAATATTTCCTGTCTAGATACAATAAAGCATGAAGAAATAACCTGAATATTTCCTGCCAAGAGTCAATGAAGCATGAAGGGATTACCTGAATATTTCCTGTCTAGATACAATAAAGCATGAAGAAATTACCTGAATATTTCCTGCCTAGAGACAATAGAGCATGAAAAAATTACCTGAGTATTTCCTGCCTAGAGACAATAAAGCATGAAGAAATAACCTGAATATTTCCTGTCTAGATACAATAAAGCATGAAAAAATTACCTGAATATTTCCTGCCTAGAGACAATAGAGCATGAAAAAATTACCTGAGTATTTCCTACCTAGAGACAATAAAGCACGAAGAAATACCTGAATATTTCCTGCCAAGAGACAATAAAGCACGAAGAAATACCTGAATATTTCCTGCCAAGAAACAATAAAAGCATGAAGGGATTACATGAATATTTCCTGCCGAGAGACAATAAAGCATGAAGAAATTATTGAATATTTCCTGCCTAGAGACAATAAAGCATGAAGAAATAACCTGAATATTTCCTGCCAAGAGACAATAAAAGCATGAAGAAATAACCTGAATATTTCCTGTCAAGAGACAATGAAGCATGAAGGGATTACATGAATATTTCCTGCCAAGAGACAATAAAGCATGAAGAAATTATCGAATATTTCCTGTCTAGAGACAATAAAGCATGAAGAAATAACCTGAATATTTCCTGTCAAGAGACAATAAAGCATGAAGAAATAACCTGAATATTTCCTCCCAAGAGACAATAAAAGCATGAAGAAATAACCTGAATATTTCCTGCCTAGATACAATGAAGCATGAAGGGATTACCTGAATATTTCCTGTCTAGAGACAATAAAGTATGAAGAAATTACCTGAATATTTCCTGCCTAGAGACAATTACCTGAGTATTTCCTACCCAGAGACAATAAAGCATGAAGAAATAGCCTGAATATTTCCTGCCAAGAGACAATAAAAGCATGAAGAAATAACCTGAATATTTCCTGTCTAGAGCCAATGAAGCATGAAGGGATTACCTGAATATTTCCTGTCTAGAGACAATAAAGTATGAAGAAATAACCTGAATATTTCCTGTCTAGAGGCAATAAAGCATGAAGAAATAACCTAAATATTTCCTGTCTAGAGACAATAAAGCATGAAGAAATTACCTGAATATTTCCTGCCTGTGCTGCGGCATGAAGTGGCGTCCAGTTTGTCCATGTATCCTTAAGATAAAAATATATCATCTTTTCTAAAATAATTTAAATAAATTAATTAAATGTATTTTTTCAATTAAATAAAAACATTTTGCTCCTTTTTAGGATAAAGAAATTTAGATGCAGAAGAAAAAAGTTATTTTTTTTTTAAACTACGAAGCTCCATGAATGCATACCTCTCCATCTGAGTTTGAACCGGCATCTAAAAGTTTCTTCACCTATAAATAAATTAATTGTTTTTATTTAATTTTTTGAAATGTAAACAAACTGAAGGTTTTATATAGGTTCTTTGCCTTAATCATTTAATGGCTTACTATGATTTGCCAAAGAATAAAAAACAAGTTTTTAGTTGCAGGAAATCAAAATTAGGAAACAGACAGTAAAAATTCTATACAGCCGTCTTAATCAGAAATAGTATTTTTGTAATCATCTGTATGCCGTGTACGCCGTGTACGCATATAGATTTAGATTTTTTTAAACACGCACACGGGCAACCGCATTACATTTGAATTTCCGAGCCGGCTCAACCTTTCCGGTCCCAGTTTAGGCTGTATCGCCCGGACATTGGGTAAATAAAGCAGAGACTTAATAGGACTAGCCGGTGCAACAAGGTTGACGCGGTTGAATTTACTTTTACTAAAGGGTCAGAGGTGCGTGAGCAAATAATAAAAAAAATTCTAATTCAACATCAAATTTCATCAGAGGTCAGAACTAAAATAGACGATCAATCTCTTATCTCTTAAATTTAAAAGTTTTCACCATGCATTGTCCTGAACATTGATATCAAGTGTTGTAGATAAAAATATTATTTTTTGTCCCTTTCAAATTTTATCCCATTTAGTTTTTCCTAACATTGTAGAAGATCGCAAGAGATCTTTAAATTTTCAAATTGTTTTTCAGTCTCATATTTTGTGGGTCACCCTGTATATTCAAGAACGCACAGTGATCCAAAATTTTAAATCTAGCGCGTAAAATTTGATTAGAAAGGAATTTTATAATTCCTATATCTTTGCAATCAGATAGTGTAAACCTTTGATATTTTGAATTTGTTATTGGATGGTATTTCTGAAGAATATTAACAATTAACAATAAAGATATTTGCTCAATTTTTTGCTCTTACATTTTGATCGCTCAGCGAAAATTTAAAATATGAGAAGTAGCATTTAAACTAATAAAAATTACAATATCACATTTTAATTACTGTGTTAATGCAAACATGTTATAGAATATTATCATCATTATATGCTGTTCACTTTGCAGGTTGTCGATATTACAAGTATAGTCTCATTTTTAGAAGAAAAACATGGATATCTCATACATTTTTTAACAAAGCTATAAAATACCGTTATGAATAGGAAATGTAATTTTGTTTTTATCTTACTGTTTCTATATCTCCTGCGCTAGCTGCATCAAACAAAGACATTTTTCATAATTTTGCAAATTTGTTCACTATTTCAAAAAATTCTATGTTCTCCCCTGTACTATCAATGTATAAGAGTACAACACAACTAAGTTCTTTCTTGAAACATTGCCAAAAGTTTACAATTAAACGAATTTAGCCTCGTTTCAAAGGGAGAGACCGGCTGGACATGATAATTGAGATGAGAGTGCAGTATTGTATAAGTTACATTTTTTAGGATTTTTTTGAGACCTTTTTAATATGTATAAGTGTTCGGAATAAGCGCAAATTTAACATTATAAATTCTCCTGTCCTAGATTGTCCTTTCTGGAGGGATGCTTTTGAGAATAGGGTTTTAAATTATTTTAAATTTTAAATTTTAAACATTTTTAAAATTTTTTTCAAAAACGAGGATGAAAATGTGACAAGTTATACAGTAAACTAAATACACAATAACGGATTTTTGCTTCATCATAAATTTCAATTAATATTTTGTTTTATCCAAAGGGAAAAGAATTCCGTCTGGAAGGATGATTTTGAGAATCGGGGTTTTTGAAATTATTCAAAAACGACGAAAAAAAATATTACACAAATTTCTACAGAAATAACAAAATAACGGATTTTAGCTTCGTTCTAACTTTCAATTAATATGTTTCTTAAACAAAGAAAAGTATGATGCATCCTAGATTAGTCCTAGATTAGTCCTAATTCACCCTTTTCAATATTCAGAAACACTCTCTTTTTTATTCATATAAATATAAATATAAAATATATAAATATAAATTTTAAACTGTAATTTTATCGACCTCAAATAATGCAACTATTGGTGGTTGAGCGTGCATATTTTATTTTAATTTAATAATTTGTTATCTACAACATAAATATAATACATTAACCCTGTTCTACCTTCTCCTTAGCCCTCTTCCTAATGTTTAAAAAAAATGTTTCTTGGATTCTTGAAAGGGAGCTGTATTCTTGCAAGGGAGCTGTATTCTTGCAAGGGAGCTGTATTCTTGCAAGGGAGCTGTATTCTTGCAAGGGAGCTGTATTCTTGCAAGGGGGGAGCTGTATTCTTGCAAGGGAGCTGTATTCTTGCAAGGGAGCTGTATTCTTGCAAGGGAGCTGTATTCTTGCAAGGGAGCTGTATTCTTGCCGCAAACTCTGATTTTGTCATTCTTATATAGGTGCAAGCCTATGACATAGATCATAGAAATTTGAATTATATTAGATTAGAGAATGTAAGTATGAAATATCAAATGTTTACACCATCCGGTTTCAAAGATATAAGGATTGGAAAATTTATGTGTGCGGCAAGAACTCAGTTTCTTTGAATTTTATTTAGAGATTCTTTTTATCTATNCAGTCGGAATAGGGTTAAAAACAAATAAAAAATATAAAAAAGCATTCTTATTTCGTGGTTACTCCTTCCTTGGTTTGGTTTATTCTTCCTTCTATATTTCCCTTGTTATTCTTCAAATGCAGGTTTCATAACTTTTAAAGTTATATATATCGTTTTTTCAAGGTTGTTTACGCAAAATTCATTCATTGCAGTTATCCTAAGTTTATTTTAGAGTTTGCATAATCTTGAATTTAAGTTTTCTATCAATATTTTATGATTTATAAATTCCAGCATTTCTGATCCTGTATGCTGTTTCCTGGGAGTTATTTTTCAGTATGTTTTAGTTTAGTTTACATTGATATAATTTGACCCTATAAAGACTGGGGGTCCAAATCTATGTAACCACCCCCCCCCCCATCCCCCCGAAATGACCCATGAATAAAGCTTCACAGTTGCAATGCATGTACATAGCTCGGTTTGTAAGGCAACTTCATGGAAGAAAAAAATTAGAACGCTAACTTTAATGGTTTGGGTGTTAGGGAGGTTTTAAAAAACGTAATACATCCATTTTTTAAGGGCTTTTTAAAAATGTGGTTTTTAGATATCTAATTAGAAATAGTTTACATGGCTCTTATTTTTTAGTGTTTTTATTTCCAATATTTCCTAGTTTATAATGGTCCTAAATCCACTGTGTTTAAGTTTTTACAGTACTAATTCAAGTATTTCATGATTCAGATAGCAGTTTTTCATGATTCAGATAGCAGTTTTTCATGATTCTGATAGCAGTATTTCATGATTCTAATTGATTCTAATTTTCATGTTTGAATTCCAGTATTTTTGTGCCTAACAATGGTTGTCATGCAAATAATTCTGTACTTCTGAGTTTTCATTGTTTATATTCCAGTATTTCTGAGTTTTCATGGTTCTAATTCAAGTATTTCTGAATTTTCATAGTCCTAATTAAAGTATTTCTGAATTTCCATAGTCCTAATTCAAGTATTTCTGAGTTCATGGTCTATTGCTTATTGCCCATTTATTTGATCCTATATATATCCTGTTAGTAATCTAGGTAAACAATTAAACTCAGTTTTTGACCCTTGAGTTATTGTTTAAATAAGGGGATAGTCGGCAATTTTTTATCAAGCGACACTTTAATCAAAGAGTATCATGCTTGATTCACAACGGTTCCCTTTAAACATTTTTTTAAAAGAAAATTAATAATTTTAAATTTGTGGTTGCTGTAAATTACACTTGCGGATCAATATAGTGATAGACCATGAAGGAAATTGAGAGAATTAATAAGATTTAACCCTATCTCTGCGGGGTACTTGAAAACCAGGATATGCTGGGCCGGGGGGGGGGGGGGCAATTTGAATAGGGTTAAAGTTAAAAAAACGTTAATTAGTTAAAGGTACACAGGAAACACATGAATTGCTTTAGATCAGATCTAAACTACCTAAAGTATCTTTTTTCTTTTTTTGGACGATTTGTTTCAAGTATTATCGACAAGTTTTATTTGCTATTCTACAATTGATTCTACAATTGGACAGCTAATATACAACATTTCCAAAGATTAAGTTAATAATTTAGGACCTCTGATTCAAAAATGTCATCCAAACAAAGAACTTTAAAAATGTTCTTCTCGTATTAAAATATATTTAAGGCTTTTTCATGAAAAGAGGATTTTTTCCAAAATTGATTCAAACGAAAACGTCTCAAATTAGCGACCTAAAATATAATTTTCTTACATTTTCATCTAAGATATCGCTAAGATATAGGGATTAGAGTGGTTGGCAAATACTCAATTCCTTTGCTTATTTTTTAACTGTTTTTACACGATACCCCTCAATTTTTCGTGCACCTTCTCTTTAACAAGTAGTGTTCTTGTTTGCTTCTAAATGATTAAGACCCTGAACGCGCGTAAACTGTGTAAAATGCCCCGTCACTCTTCTGATTGTAATCAATTAATCAAGGAGAACAGACAAATATTAGCTGTGTATGTAATTTACAGGCACTTTTTGATGGTCACATTAAACCTTCTCCCCCCCTGTCCCCATTCCCCCTCCTTATCCCCAGTCCCCACCCGCACAATGAAATTATTGAACCAAAAAATACGTTATATGTTCAATGCCATTTGTATTTGCTCTAAAACAATTTGCTTTCTGACAAATTTTCTCTCCGTCAGATTTGCTCTATGGGTCATTTGCTCCATGTCTCATCACGTCCTTGCATTATATATTTGTTTGCCGTTTGCTCTATACATGTCTATACCTAGCCACCCGGCCTCTCCTAATCGCAGCGCTTGGCCCCTCCAGGAGTCAGAATAATAATTACTTCGACCCACTTTTACAAGTAGGCCTACTTCTACAATTAGACCTATTTCTACAAGTAGATCTACTTCTACAAGTAGACCTACTTCTACAAGAAGACTTACTTCTACAAGTAAATCTAATTCTACAAGTAGACCTACTTTATATGTATACCTACTTTTACAAGACCTACTTCAACATGTAGACCTTCTTCTACAAGTAGATCTAATTCTACAAGTAGACCTACTTCTATATGTATGCCTACTTTTACAAGACCTACTTCAACAAGTAGAACTTCTTTTACAAGTAGACCTACTTCTATAAGTAGACCCTACTTATACAAGTAGACCCTACTCATACAAGTAGACCTACTTCTACTAGTAGACCAACTTATACAAAAAAACTACTTCTATAAGTAGACCTACATCTATTAGTAGACCTACTTATACAAAAAAAAAACTACTTCAACAAGTAGTCACACCTGTACATGCATATCTTTTATAGTAATAGCTGTGTACTCAACTCATGTACAAGTCTCCCCTTAACCCCATTATTTGGTCTACTAACATGACATACAATAAAGCTTTTAATCTATAATTGTTCTAAATGTTTCAAGGCTATCATGAAGGAATCATGAAGTAATGTTTTTCGTGGAAAAAAAATTACTCATAAGAGTACAATTCAGACGCAGACCTATTTACGCCTGGTAGAGATAGGCACTGCTTTTTTGAACGAACACAATTTTTGAGAACGAACAGAATAGGGTGTCGGTTAGAAAACAGAACGATGGATGAACGAAATGGATCGTTCAGAGAAATGAAAAAATTATCGTTTTTGGAAGACAAACGAAAAAAACGATTTAAAATCGTTCGAAAAAACTCGAAAAAACTTTGCTGACGAACAATTTTACTGAAAGATTAGTGAGAAAATGAACGAAATATATATTTTGAGAACGAACGAAAGAAATCAAAATCTTTTGAACGAACAACATGCCTGTACAAGAACAATGCCTGAACGAAGTGAAGAAAGGTCGAACTGGCCCATCTCTATGGATATATACGCCTGGTCTGCGACCATGACAGACAATAAGCCAAACTTGGGACTATTTTATCACAGAGCACCCAAAATGTTTAAATTTTTCTATAAAAGAAGTTGGTTTTCAAATATTATTATCAGTGTTGGAGCTTTAACTGCTAGCTGCACATATTCTTTAGACAGAGGTTTATTAATAAACTTGGTCAAATTCTCCAAATTATACTAAACAAGATGAAATCCGCTGTTGCCTGTATTGCCTTTGCCTTGGCGGTAAGTTACTTTAAAATAATTCTAAAGATTTTGTAAAGTTACTTTTTTGTTACAGTTTAAACCTAGATAAATAAGATAGAGCAAGAAATCGTTTGCACTTAAAAAAATACCAAAAAAAAATTAATAATTTGATATTTTAAAAACAGTGTTTACATTCACTTTTTGTAGTTGAACTGGTTGTGCTTAGTTTATCTAATTCACTCTATTTATTAATTCCTAGCTCAGTTTCATATCTATTTCATCTTTGGATATTTGTTAAGATTATTGAACTGTTAAACCTATTGAACAAAGAGTAATTAGCTATCCTTGTTGTTCACTGAGATCAATCTGGTTTGTCATCACAGTAAACTAAACAGATTGAGACGGTCAAAGGAATTGAGTCTTTGGAACAAAATCAAATATTTAAATCTCAATATCTTTAGAACTTGATTTTGTAAACCTTTGATATTTCAAACTCAGATTATTTGATCTAACAGAATTCATAGTTTGAAATATCTAAGGTCTGAAACATTTGGTTCCAAAGATTTAGTGATTAGAAAATCAGAGTTTGTGGCAAAGAGTAAATTTTTTTATGCGAAATTTCTGCTACGACTTTGTGACACCGAAGCTCCTCTGGTTTTGATTTTACGCAAAAGTATGCAAGTTTTTCTGATTAAAATAAAACAAGACTTTCGTATGTATAAATATTGCCAATAGCCGGTCAAACGGCTGAACCGATTGGGCAGACATTTTTTGTGGACACTCATGAGTGGCCGGGGGGTGTTAAAAAATTCGAAATTTTTTTTCAAATTTTTTTTATTACACGGGCAACGCCGGGCCCTTCAGCTATTTTAAACTATTTAAAACCTTCGGTTCTTTCTTAATAAAATGAGTTATGATTGAAACCATTTCAGACTTTAATATCACGTTCAGTTTACTTTCGTTAACCTTCGTGACATTATGATGGGCTCAAGAGGGTAAAAGATTATTCAATTTTCATTTTTGATTTTGTCCGAAAGTTTAGCACTATTTGTATAGTGTGTACAAAAGATAAGAAACGTTAGGAGAATTGTGAAACACAACGGTATCCCTTGGTTAATGCACAGAGTTAATACAAAGTAAAAAGAATAAATTAGGCATTCATTTTTTAAATCTTACAACAAACAAAGGCTTTACAGCCGTCAACGAAAAAAATTAGACATATTGTAAAATTTGTAATCTAGTTTGAATTCAATACACTTTTAGACATTTCTGGAATCCCTTAATAGCCACAAAACTAGTGAGTAAAAACGAGACAAATTCAGAGATCACAGATAAAGAGGGGCCCTGACCCCAATAATTTTGCTTTTAAAGTTAAAAAGGGAGTATAATAAAGGTACCAAGTCCAACTTTTCAGAGCCCGCTTATTTAAAAATACACCTCTAACTTTTATGGTCAGAGTGCAAGGGAGGACTTAATAAGAGTTTAAACAGTATTTCGGACAAATGTTGAAAAATAGTCATTTTTACTTTTACAAAAAAAATTAGTAAATTTTCCACACGTCGTTGCGTCAATTTTTTAGGCTTTTCAACGAAATAAATTTTAGATCTGTAGCTGTCTAAACAAATTGACTATAGTAATAAAAAGTGTACAATTTTGTTGTTGTTCAGGTACCAGCTGTGTATTCAACGTTCCTTTCTGCGGGAACCATTGGATCCGGTTTTGCATTTCCGTTCATTACTCTGGGAGGGTCTACAGCGGCGACCGGAACTACAGCCGCTTCCGGTCTAGCTATCACAGGCCTAACAGCAGCATCAGCTACTCTAGCAGGATTCGGAGGTATAGGGCATCTTATCTACATATATAAAGTTGTAATCTCTGTTTGGGTGTCTGTTTGTTTGTTTGTCGGATCATATCTTTTGGTTGGGGAACTCGGGAGGCCCATGGGAATGTTCTTAGCTTGGTTTTGAGATTCTAAGTTAAGTGGGTCGACTTTAATAGCGAAAAATTATAATATATCATTTTTTCCAAATTTAGGACTACTGCTGGTTGTCAAGGCCGGAGGAATTTTGGGAGGACTTGCTGCACTTAAAGTTCGAGGAGCTCTTAACAACAGAAACAACGGAAACAGCAGGAACCACAGTTATAGGAGACGTGGGAAACGCTCTGTAGAATCTGAAGAACAGGTTGGGAAACAGTTTATCTAATCCATTACGAGTCAAGGATAATCCATTAGTGGTCATGGATAATCCATTCCTGGTCAGGAATAATCCATTACGGGTCAGGGATAATTCATTACTGGTCATGGATAATCCATTAGTGGTCAGGGATAATCCATTACTGGTCATGGATAATCCATAAGTGGTCAAGGATAATCCATTACTGGTCAGGGATAATCTATTAGTGGTTAGGGATAATCCATTACTGGTCAGGGATAATCCATTATTGGTCAGGGATAATCCATTACTGGTCATGGATAATCCATTAATGGTCAAGGATAATCCATTAGTGGCCAGGGATAATCCATTTCTGGTCATGGATAATCTATTAGTGGTCAGGGATAATCCATTACTGGTCAGGGATGATCCATTACTGGTCATGGATAATCCATTACTGGTCATGGATAATCCATTAGTGGTCAGGGATAATCCATTACTGGTCATGGATAATCCATTATTGGTCATGGATAATCCATTACTGGTCATGGATAATCTGTTTCTTGTCAGGTATAATTTATTACTGGTCATGGATAATCCATTACTGGTCATCGATAATCCATCACTGGTCATGGATAATCCATTACTGGTTATGGATAGAGATGGCGTTCGGTTTTTGTTTGTTTCGTTTGTGACCGACCCATAAAAATTGATTTTGTTCATTCACAAAATTATTGATATTTGTTCAGTAAAATCGTTCATAAAATAAAAAAATCTGTTCATTATAAAAACGGTCGTTTTTTCAAAACTTTGAACGAATATATTGTTTATACTTCAGTAAATAAAACAATCGTCTTGTAAAAAGTGTATTCCAAAAAATCGTTCATACATTAAAAACACTTTTTTTGGTTTTTTAAAAATCCTTTGGAAAATTTGTTCGTTCAAAAAAAAACTATCGTTTTATCAAATTGGTTTTTTTCGTTTGTTTTTAAAACATTTTTTTATTTTTTTTTGAATTTGAGGTTGGTGAAGCGTTTATTTTTGATGCTATTGCATCAATGGATAACCTAGACTGTGGTAAGAGATATCTCTGTGAGCTTGCTGCAACTCCATTACCTGATTTGACAGAAGAAGAACTTTCTTCATTAATGCTGTTTCAGGTACATAGATACATTAGCTTGAGAACCTAGCGTTGCCCAGGGTACTCGAGTACACGAGTAAACGGTGCGGCGGTAGTAACTACAGTATGTCCCAAAAAAAACATGGGATTTAAGTGATAATTTTTTTATTTAGTATAGTAATACCCACTGAGAAAACTGTAATCCGTAAGATTTTCTTCTGCTGTGTTTTGACTGCATACTTTTGTACTTAGTAAAACAAGAAAATTACAGTTTACAGAGTAAACTTGTCCTTCTTCACTGTTTATCTTGCGGAGACATTATAAATCTTTACAGTCTTTTACCCTTTTTATAAAATAAACTCTAGCAAACCTAACAATATTATGGCTTTGAAATTAGGTATTGCAATGCTAATTCATATCGAAAAACGACATCGATTCGTTACTGAATTCCCATGATTATTGGGACACCCTGTATGATCATAGTTACTACCGCCGTTTACCCGTGCATGGTCGTAAATTACTGTTTTAGCTTTTTTCCCCTATTTAAAGTCTGACTCAACTTAGAATCTCAAAACCAAGCTTTAAATATTTTCGTGGTTCTCCCCTAGTTCCAATCAAAATTGAGGCAAATCGGTCAAGGGAATCCTGAGTTATGATCGATCGGACACACAGAAATTACAAATTTAAATACATAGATACCGTGTAACCCACAAAACTTTGGAATAGGAAGATTATATTTGTTTAATCTATATAAATTTAAAATTGTTTAAAAGCAAGCATTTAACCTGCAGTGGCTTGAAGTTGAACATTCGGCTTCCCGTGTCACTTTCCACAGCTTTGTGGGTCTTACTGTATTAAATTATCCCAACAGGGACTAGATTGACTAGGTTTACAAATTATTTTGTAGTCCTGGAAATGTTTGGTGAAAAGACAAATCATAATTTAAATTCAATTTTTTATTAATTATTGGTGGTCCAACTTTCAGGATGAAAAATATGGTTTTTAAAGTTTTTATTTAATCAATTTTAAATCTTATATAATATTTTTGATGGCCTTGTAATGTTTATTCTTTTGTTTCTGATTTTAAAGAAATATGTCGACCATGAAAACTGAACAAAAAAAGCGTTTAAAGGGACTGTTGGCGATATTTCAAATGCCTGATTCACAACTTATATTTTTAAGCATCGATGGGTAAGATAATGTTAATTTTTTCTGTGTAAAATTCTTGAAAATTCCGTCGTTATCTCTGTTGCATAAAAGTCATTTTGGTGAGCACACCTAATTGAAAATATCAAAAAATTAAACTAGAAAAATAAAGGTATCTTGTAAATAAAAAGCTGTACCAGCACCACTTTGTTGTCTTTATATTCCGTCTACAGTCTCTTTAAGAACGTATATTGGATGCTGTATCATGAATACAAGTACAGTCCCTTTAAGAACGTATATTGGATGCTGTATCATGAATACAAGTACAGTCCCTTTAAGAACGTATATTGGATGCTGTATCATGAATACAAGTACAGTCCCTTTAAGAACGTATCCTGGCGCTGTATCATGACTTGCCTATTTTATCCTACTTTGACATATCTAATTCTAAATGACTGTAATAACCGTCATTTATTTCATTGTTAGCTTTTCAGCTTGTAATTAATATTCTTCTTCAATTCAAGTCCTCGTCGTTTAAATCAATACAATGAAGACGACTTTCGATTTAAAAAGCTTGTCAGAGATCAAAACTTAAATAGACAGTTCGTCTTCATTGTATTGATATAACCATTCCTTTTTTCGTTTATTCATTTAACTTAAAAGTTTCTTTTATTCTAGAAATGAAAATCGAAAACCTTAAATAATAAAGTTCTAGATATCTTACAATTTATTGGAAACATTTTAAAATGCTAATTTATGAACAAAAAAAACTTATGTTTCTAACAATTTCCAGTAGATTGTTGAGAATGTCCAATAAATTAAGGTTTTTAGGAGCTATTTTATTCTTTTTTTTACCCGAAGCCGTGTTTCTGGTCAAAATATCAAATATTTATTTTTTCTTTGACACTACATAATATGTTTTTTTTTCTTCTTTTTCTGGGAACCTCTGTATATAGTATTTTTTTTTTCTTTTTTTGAGACACTCTGTTCATAGTATTTTTTTTCTCTTTTCTTTTGAGACACTCTGTACATAGTATTTTTTCTTTTTTTCTGAGACATAGTACATAAAATTTTATTCAGTCTGCTCCTGGACCAGTAAACAGTGGTAAGGCCCTTTTTGAAGAGGCAGTACGGCTTGGAGCAATCAGCAGAAATCAGCAATCCTGCCAAATTAGGTAAAAAAATTAAACAAATATAAACGAATATATATATTTTAAATATATAACACGAAGTCTAAATAATAATATAATAATAATAATAATAATGAATTGTTTAGATATAAGAAATGTGAAACTGTGTCAGCCCCCGACTTCACAGCATTTTCTAGCAATCAATTATAATTCTGTTCATCTTGTATATTTTATAAATAAATTTATTCAAACTTCCATGCTTTTTTTAGGAAACTTGCAAAATAAATATTTGCAAATTTGTCGATTAAAATTGTTGCAAATATTCTGTTGCAAAAGTAATAATTATTTAGAATGTTGCTAATCTTCATCTACTATATAATAAAACAAAACATTCGTATAATGTTCCCTATAGCCGGCCAAACGGCTCAACAGAATGGGCTGACATTTTTTGTGGACACTCATGGGTAGCCTGAGGGTGAAAAAGCAAAAAATTCCAATTTTTTTAATTCACACTTTCTTTTTTTTCAATTTTTTTCCACAGGCAACAGCCCTTCAGCTAGTAATATATAAAGATACAAGCTTGTCCAATGTGAACTAAACAAAAGGACCATGTGATTTCAAAAATGCAAAAAAATGCAAAATTTAAATAACTTGATGTGTAATCAAGAAAAACTAATAATATGCAAATTGCTTTTGACGTATGCAAATAATTTGTAAAAGTTTCTCTGCAAAACTTGTGCAATACGTTTCCTTCTGACATGGGCTTTCCAAAAAGCTAAAAATTATCAAAATTTATCAACTGGAATTGGGTCAAAACAAAGATTTAGTTCGTTACAGGAACAAAAATCATTCAGGCAGTGTGTCTGAGGACTCAGGCAGTAAGTATAAAAGCCCGGTTTTAGACCTAAAGGAAAGGCTATATGTGTTAAGGAAATGTCCGAAAATTTCAACAGCCTCAGACAAATACTTTTTGAGTTATGTAAAAAAAAATCTGTATTATTTTGTATTGTTTTGTATTGTATTGTATTGTATTGTATTGTATTGTATTGTATTGTATTGTATTGTATTGTATTGTATTGTATTGTATTGTATTGTATTGTATTGTATTGTATTGTATTGTATTGTATTGTATTGTATTGTATTTTATTGTATCGTATTATATTGTATTGTATTGTATTTTATTGTATTGTATTTTATTGTATTATATTGTATTGTATTGTATTGTATTGTATTGTATTGTATTGTATTGTATTGTATTTTATTGTATTGTATTGTATTGTATTGTATTATTTTTTATTGTATTGTATTGTATTGTATTGTATAGCATTGTATTGTATTGTATTGCATTGTACTGTATTGTATTGCATTTTATTGTATTGTATTGTATTGTATTGTATTGTATTGTATTGTATTTTATTGTATTATTTTGTATTGTACTGTATTGTACTAGGAGCTTTTAGGGCGCTTCGCGCCCATCTTCTCTTTAAATTGTGAACATGTTCTTTTTGTTTACACTTTAAAACAAAGAAGAAAAAAATTTTGCGGATTTTTAAAAAAAAATCGTGGATTTTTAAGAATTGAATTTTTTTACAAAATTAAAAACCTTTAAAACACATTTCTTTAAATTTTTATCATTTGTAAACCTTCCCTGTGTTCACGTAATGTCCCAAAAAAAATTTGGGCCCGATCGGTTCAGCCATTTTGACGTTTATTGGATACAAACAGACAGACAGACAGACAAGCCAAATTTATATATAGATTGTATTATTTTGTATTGTATTGTATTGTATTGTATTGTATTGTATTGTGTTGTATTGTATTGTATTGTATTGTATTGTATTTTATTGTATTGTATTGTATTGTATTGCATTGTATTGTATTATATTGTATTGCTTTGTATTGTATTGTATTGTATTGTTTTGTATTGTATTGTATTGTATTGTATTGTATTGTATTGCATTGTATTGTAATGCATTGTATTGTATTGTATTTTATTGTATTGTATTGCATTGTATTGTATTGCATTGTATTGTATTATATTGTTTTGTACTGTATTGTATTGTATTGTATTGTATTGTATTGTATTGTATTGTATTGTATTGTATTGTATTGTATTGTATTGTATTGTATTTCATTGTATTGTATTGTTTTGTATTATTTTGTATTGTATTGTTTTGTATTGTATTGTATTGTATTGTATTGTATTGTATTGTATTGTATTGTATTGTATTGTATTGTATTGTATTGTATTGTATTGTATTGTATTGTATTGTATTGTATTGTATTGTTTTGTATTGTTGTATTGTATTGTATTGTATTGTATTGTATTGTATTGTATTGTATTGTATTGTATTGTATTGTATTGTGTTGTATTGTATTGTATTGTATTAAATGTATTGTATTGTATTGTATTGTATTTCATTGCATTGTATTGTATTGCATTGTATTGTATTGTATTGCATTGTATTGTATTATTTTGTATTATTTTGTATTGTATTGTTTTGAGAAAAAGAAAAAAAATATCGTTCTATAAGGTCACTTTATAAGGTCACAATTTGGATCATTGTAACCAGTTGTACTGTACTTCTTTTAGTGTGCGATAGACAACTTTCAAAAAAGGTCTTTTTAAATCATTAACTTTTAAACTGTGTCCTAATAAATATAATAATTAACCCTATTTCTGCTGGTGGGGGGGGATATCAGTTTGACCTCCCTTCCCAGTAGTTTTTTTTACATAAATCAAAAAGTGTAGGTCTAATTGGCTATTAGAATTTTCTGACTTTTCATAAATACTCAAAGCCATCCATTTAGGTTTAAAACCAGTCTTAGTCCTTAGGCACACTGCCTGAATGTCTACTTTTTTCTGTAACAAACTAAATCTTTGTTTTGACCCATTTGCAGTGGTCAGATTTTTATAATTGTTAGCTTTTTAGAAAGCCTATGACATAAGGAAACGGATCGCAAAAACTGTTTGCATACAACACGTCAAAAGAAATTTCCACACTTTTAGTTTGTTTGAATTGCAAACCATGTAATTTAAATTTTGGCAAATTTGTGTGCATATTTGATATGGCATTGTCAAGGGCTTTTCAAAAATGTATATTTTATCTTTTTTTTTTGGATATTTTTGTTTTGCCAACATGTTTACAATTTGCCAAAAAAAAAATGCAAATTTGTTTCAGATTCTAAAAGTAGAGCTATATATGCTTTCCAATGATGATACTTATCGTTTGTCATATTTGGACATCAAACATGGGATTAAGAGGGGGGGGGCAAATTGACCCCCCCCCCAGCATATTCTGGTTTTCAAGGAACCCAGCAGGGATAGGGTTAAAAGTCGACCGTATATTGATAAATACCAACGAGTAAGACTTGTGAGCTTAAATAAATGTGGTCAGCCATTTTTGTAACTATTAGCGGAGATATTTAACATTTTTTGTAACTATTAGCGGAGATATTTAACAATTTTTGTAACTACTAGCGGAGATATTTAACAATTTTTGTTGAATTAAACAAAAAAAAGTTAATTTGTAAACAGTTTACAATATCTCCGAACATTTCAAAGGTTTAGCAAAGGTAGAAGAACACATAATTTTGGAATTCCCGAGACTATTAGTTCTTATTGTAGAAAATATAAATATTTAATTCTTAAAAGAATTAAATATAAAATGTTGAAGTACGCATTAAAAATAAAGAAATGTATTTGATTATTTCTAACTAAAGTCTACATAAATTATAATGTATTTGTCTAAGCTAATTAAACACTAAAAAATATTACTGATAGCCATTTTTTAAAACAAAATTTTTTAATAACACAATTTAAAAAAAAGAGTATACTGTAGTTTTCTTTTTTAATTAATGCGTTTTATGTTTTAAATGAAATAAACACATATTTGAAAAAAGAATTACATTTACTGTTTATTATCAAGTTGTCATTTTTCTTTGCAAATCGTATTTCCCAAAGGAAAGGGGAAAAAAATTCCGAGCAAATTATTAATTAAGCAATTAAGAACCTTCCCTCGGGCCATGTCAGTTTACACAAAAAAATTGGCCCGGAAGGTTTAATCGTTTGGCGTTTATTTGACACAAACAAACAAACAATCAAAATTTATCTATAGTTCGCATTTCATTAAATAAATCTAAATAAAACCTAAATTGTTTAAATCTTTGATAGCATGCTCAGTCAATCATGTTAAAACAAAAATTATTTTTTTCTAGGTAATAGAAAATTAGCCATTGGAAAACGTGGATTTCTTGAAAACAGCGTAAGAAGGATTTTAGATTATACTAGCTGAAGGCCCGGCGTTGCCCGTGGAAAAATAAGATAAAAAAATTTGGCAAACAAAAAGAAAGTGTCCACAAAAAAATTCACCCCATTCGGTCGAGCCGTTTGGACGGCCAGAGGGAACATTTATATAAATGTCTTGTTTTATTATATCGATTATTAAAGAATTATATTTTTTCAATTTTCCTCCACGCAGAGATAATTGCTCAGAGTACACAGTTCAGTGGTCACCCATGAAGGCTATCCTGTACGTATGCTATACCGATTCGTATGAACTATGACTGGCACATTTCGTAATTTTTGACGCAAAAATGCGTCGCCTTGGATCCTATATAAAGCGATAGAAACATGGATTTTGTATCAATCGTGTTGGAGCATTACTGCTAGCTGCACTGATATCATAGACAGAGGTTTATTCTTAAACTTGGTCAAGCTCTTTTGATTATACAAATCAAGATGAAGTCAGCTGTTGCTACTCTTGCTTTTGCCATGGCGGTAAGCATTTTTTTTTGTAAAATTAGAGTATTTCATGATTTTTCATGAAATACTCTTTCTTATTTTCGTTGTAATTTTACTTAACTAGTAGATTGTAATAACTTTCGAATTGATTTCCTTTTGGCAGAAAAATTTTATTAATATGAACTCAAAAAACATTCACTTGCTCCAAAAACAGATGTTAAAAGATTTAATTTATGATCACTGATGTTTTTTTGTATTGCATTAAACTTTTTTTTCAAAATTTGAATTCTTCATGATTGCTAATGCATGTATAATTTCAAATAAAAGCAAAAAAATATTATTAAATTATTTTTAAGCTTTTTTATTTTAAAATTTTAAGTAAAATATCCTGAATTTTTACTTTCATAAAATTTTCTCAGTGGATTATAAAAACCAACACCAAAAATGTAAGTAATATAATCTTTAAAACAATATGTTCTCCAAACATAAACACTAAGGCCTAAGCTTAATATCTAAAACGTTTATTTCAGCAATAGCTTGATTTGTTAAACTTAGGGAGATATTTACAATTAATTGACTTACTGACTGACTTCAAAAGGAACAAAGGAATTAAATATTCGTCACAAACTATTACTTGATAATTCCTAATCTTAGCAACCTGATGGTGTTAATAATTAGAATTTCAAACATAATTCATAGTTTTCCCCATCAGGCTGAAAAGATGTAAGGATTAGAAAAATAAAAATTGTGGCAATTAATCCATTCCTTCGTTACCTACTTGAACTTCAGATCTATTTCTTTCTTATTTTCGAATCAAATATTGACTTTTCTCTTTTTAACATTTAAAGGAAAAATTTAAAGTGACCCTCCATGTAAATATAAGGGTACCCTTAACCTTATAAAGGGGGTCTGAATCTATGCATAGCCGGGGGCGCCCCCTAGAAAAAGGCCTTAGAGAATAGGTATAGGGTTAAAATGCATGTTCATAGTCCAATTTTGCATGGCCAGCTTAAAGAAAAAAAACATATACCGATAACTTTAATAGTTTGTGTGCTAGGGAGGGTAGACAAAAATGCCTAAAAAAGGGTAAAAAAAATGAAAAAAAAAATATTTATTTTTGTTTTAAACAAATATCAAAGTGTGACACATGTCTCCACATGCATTTTTCAAAGGCTTTTCAAAAAATATAGTTTTAGATCTGTAGTTTTAGTTACAAAAAAGGTATGGGCTATTTTAGATTTTTTTTCACAGACCGGACTTTTTTCCGCACTGTACCCTACCTTGTAAATTAAAAAATTTTAACAGCAAATCCTTTAAATTACTATTTATTAAAAGTCACAAAATTTCACGGTGATAGTGTCAAAAATGAGAGTGCTAGAACAAAAAAACTACAGGTGGGCGCCAAACGCCCCCCCCCCCCCAACCTGTTAGGGTTAAAAGCTTTTTCTGATCAATTATGAATTATGATATCTATATTTATAATATTGTTAAAAATTCAAGAAACGACAGTATATTCCAAATTATTGATCAGCTAGATAACGGTTTTTAGGGTACCATTGTGAACCGGACATCACCATCTTTGCATGAAGGATCACTTGAAATTTCGCTCACAGTCCCTTTAATTCACATCTTTTTGAATTAAAACTATATTTTAGATTCCTGCCGCGTATTCTATTTTCATAAGCGGGGGAACTGTTGGAGCAGGATTTGGTCTGCCCCTTATCACCCTTGGGGGCACAGGAACCACTGCTGGTAAAAAAAAATACTAAAAAAATACTAAAAATTTAATAAAAAAAATGTCTTACAAAAAAATGCATTTCGGCAAAAAATAAAAATATGTTTTAACTTGCAAGATTCTTCTAATTTTGATTCATTTAAATTCTAAGAGATCACTTAAGAAGTAAGGATTGTAATGAATGGTAATTTTTACAAATATTTATAATTTTGAAGGTTTGATTTATTTCTAGGAACCGCTGCAACTACCGCCATAGGCATCACAGGTCTTACAGCCGCCTCCGCCACTTTAGCCGGGGTCGGAGGTTTAGTTGCTGTCGTCGGAGCTGGAGCTGTCCTCGGGGGTCTAGCCGCTGCTGCCGTCAGAGGAGCTGGTTCTCGAGGTGGTTCCCAAAGAGGAGGCAGGAGGGGTAAGAGGTCTCCCGTCAACCAGGAGATGATCGGAGAACAGTTTGTGTTTGATGCTATTGCAACCATGGATACTATTGACTGCGGAAAGAGATATCTCTGTGAGATTGCCGCAACTCCTCTTGAAGAACTCACACAAGAGGAACTATCTTCTCTTCTCCTTTTCCAGGTTAAAATCTTTTTTTATTTTTTTCACATTTTTTTAAATTTTTTTTTCGAAAACTACTTTTTTAAAGGATACTGCTTAAATTGTTTTTAAAAGGAATTGAGTATTTTTAAATCTTTAACATATATGCAACCCAATGTCGTAGACCTTCAATATTTCAAATAATGAATTATGTTAGATCAAATAATGTAAGTTTGAAATATCAAATGTTTAGACCATCAGGATGCAACGATATATAAGAACATTTGAGTTTGTGGCAAAAAAAAAATATCAAAACTTTAGGCTGGAAAAATAACATTTTGATTTTAGTTTTATAATGGCGGAATTCCGACATTGGATCCTAGAATTTTTTTTAAATAACATTTTTGTTTGTTAGTCCGCCCCCGGAGCACCTGGAAGCGGCAAAGCTGATTTTGATAAAGCTGTCAGACTTGGAGCTGTCAGCAGAAACCCTAACACCTGTCAAATTAGGTACTATAAAACTCTACTGACACAACTTTGTAACCTCGTAGCTCCTCTACTTTTGATTTTACGCATAATTATGAGAAAAGTAATTTTATATGGTTACAAATTAGGTATTTAACCTTTATTTCTCTAAGTATAGATTTTCGTGGTTTTTTTTGCATGAAAACGTTTTAGTTTTTTTAAATTACTGAACATTTAAAATTCAAGATTTCGCAGATTTTTCATTAGTGGATTTCAGAAAAACACTTTATTTTTTTAAATTACTTCACCGGCTTTCACTTAATTTAAAACAAAAAAAAATTGGTTTATTCGTTTTAACGTTTATTAATACAAATAAACATGAATAGATAAGCTGAATGTATTAATAATTAACATTTTTTTAGATACAAGAGTTGCCAGACTGTTGACGTTGATGCCAGCAGTTTGCAGCAGAACCAGCTTTAATTTGTTTTTTTTTGTATTTTTTCAAAATTGCATTCATTCTGATAGATTTATATTACATTTACGTATCAAAGTAAAACATGTGTTTTAATCTTATGTAAATGAATTATGCAAGATAGATTTATACAAGATAGAGTTATAAAAGATAGATTTATAAAGGTATAATTACAAAAAGATAAAATTACAAAAGATAGAAATATAAAAGGTAGAATTACATAAGATAAAATTACAAAAGATAAAATTACAAAAGATAAAATTACAAAAGATACAATAACAAAAGATAGAATTACTTAAACGGTATAATTACAAATGATAGAATTACAAAAGATGCAATAACAAACGAAAGTATTTCTTAAAAGGTATAATTACAAATGATAAAATTACAAAAGATAGAATTATAAAAGGTAGAATTACAAAAGATACATTTACAAAAGATAGAATTACTTAAAAGGTATAATTTCAAATGATAAAATTTCAAAAGATAGAATTACAAAAGATAGAATTATAAAAGATACAATAACAAAAGATAGAATTAATTAAAAGATATTATTACAAAGAAAGAAATATAACTGAAGGTAGAATTACAAAAGAAACAATTGAAAAAGGTAGACTTACAAAAGGTAGATTTACAAAGGGTAGAATTGTAAAAGATAAAATTACAAAAGATACAATAACAAAAGATAGAATTAATTAAAAGATATCATTACAAAAAAATAAATGCTAAAGGTAGAATTACAAAAGATAGAATTACAAAATATACATTTACAAAAGATACAATAACAAAAGATAGAATTACTTAAAAGGTATAATTACAAATGATAAAATTACAAAAGATAGAATAAAAAAGATAGAATTATAAAAGGTAGAGTTACAAAAAATAAAATTACAAAAGATATAATTATAAAAGGTAGAATTACAAAAGATACATTTACAAAAGATACAATAACAAAAGATAGAATTACTTAAAAGGTATAATTACAAATGATAACATTACAAAAGATAGAATAAAAAAGATAGAATTATAAAAGGTAGAGTTTAAAAAAAATAAAATTACAAAAGATAGAATTAAAAAAGGTAGAATTACAAAAGATACATTTACAAAAGATACAATAACAAAAGATAGAATTACTTAAAAGGTATAATTACAAATGATAAAATTACAAAAGATAGAATAAAAAAGATAGAATTATAAAAGGTAGAGTTACAAAAAAAAAATTAAAAAAGATAGAATTATAAAAGGTAGAATTACAAAAGAAAGAATTATAAAAGATAGAATTACAAAAGGTAGAATTACAAAAGATACCTTTACAAAAGATAGAATTACTTAAAAGGTATAATTACAAATGATAAAATTTCAAAAGATAGAATTACAAAAGATAGAATTATAAAAGATACAATAACAAAAGATAGAATTGATTAAAAGATATTATTACAAAGAAAGAAATATAACTAAAGGTAGAATTACAAAAGAAACAATTGAAAAAGGTAGACTTACAAAAAGTAGATTTACAAAGGGTAGAATTGCAAAAGATAAAATTACAAAAGATATAATAACAAACGGTAGAATTACTTAAAGATATAATTATAAAGAAAGAAACACTAAAGGTAGAATTTCAAAAGAAAAATTGATAAAGGTAGAATTTCAAAAGAAACTATTGAAAAAGGTAGATTTACAAAAGTAAGAGTTACTAAAGGAAGAATTACAAAGATAAAAATACTAAAGTTAGAATTGAAAAAGGTGAAATTACAAAAAGTAAAATTACAGTAAGGTAGAAATATAAAAGGTAGAATTACTGAAAGCAGAATTACAAAAGATACATTTACAAGAGATAGAATAACAAAAAGAAGGATTAAAAAAAGTAGAATTGCAAAAGTTAAAAATTACAAATGAAAAAAATATAGAAATTGCAGTACACTAGATGTACTCAATTGACCACGCTGCAATTAAAACAGTGAAACCAGAAAACAATGAAATAGGAAGACGACATTAGAGCAGTAATTAAGTGTATTTGATTTTGTTACAAAGTAAATAATTTTAGGCAAGGTACCTTTACGAAACTTACAATCGAAACCCGGTTTTACCTAGAATATCTATTATTTAGATATTATTTTGCTAGTTAAAATTTAGTTTCCAATGCAGACATTTTCTGAAGAGCGTTCCTCCATGAAAAGATCAAGAACATGGAAAATGAAAAGATACAGAATATGGAAAATGGAAAGATCAAGAAAATTAATTATTTACAACTGTGTTTTTATTGTACCTTGCGGAACTATGCAGCTAAACTAATAGGGTAAATAGTAAGAATTAAACACTTTTTAAGATAGAGAATCGACGATATCTTTTACATTATTGCTCAGATAAATGTTAAAGGGTATTTTTATAGAATTGTGCATATTTAATTAGTGGGTTGACTTGAAAATACAAGGACAGTCCCTTTAAATTACCGGCTTCTGTTTTAACCGGGTCCATGTCTGTTCATGCATTTAATATTTCTTCTTCCAACCTACATGGGTTTCTATTATCTGGGGAAAAAAATCCATTTTGAAATATACAATTTTAGACCATTTTCGGTTTTCATCGTCTCCGGAATTCCAGAATTCCTGAACCTTTTCCATTTAAATAATGGAAAAATTCGGACTCATTTTCGTACACGTAAACCGTAAAGCGGAATTCCGTCGGTGGAAACCCTAAAACCTACCAAACCACCTCCTACACTTTACACTGATAACTGATAAATATTAAAATAGATTTAAAAAACAAGTTTTCACCTTCCCAGGGAGGAGATAATACGTAGATTCATAATTTGTTTTAAAAAATTAAAGCTGACCCTGACACATCCTGACTCCCCCGCCCCACCCTCACACCCCCTCCCCCATTTCCTGAATCCCCATTTACGCTCACATCCTCCCCTCCTCGCTCTCCCTCCTAGCCCCCTAACAATAAACATATAAACAGACTCTTTGACCGCAGTTTCATTTGTGTGTTTGTTATAGTAACATCTAACTTACTGGGTTACCCACAAAGGATGAGACTTCAGAGACGATTGTACGGAGTTTGTTTTCTTGCATTCAGGGTTTCTTTCTTGCATTTAGGGTTCCTTTCTTGCATTCAGGGTTCCTTTCTTACATTCAGGGTTCCTTTCTTGCATTTAGGATTCCTTTCTTACATGTAGGGTTCCTTTCTGGCATTTATAGGGTTCCTTACTTGTATTTAGGGTTCCTTTCTTGCATTTAGGGTTCCTTTCTTACATTTAAGGTTCCTTTCTTGCATTCAGGGTTCCATTCTTGCACTCAGGTTCATTTCTTGCATTCAGGGTTCCTTTCTTGCATCATTCAGGGTTCCTTTCTTGCATTTTTGGGTTCCTTTCTTTTATTAAGAGTTTCTTTCTTGCATTTAGGGTTCCTTTCTTGAATTTAGGGTTTCTTTCTTGCATTCAGGGTTCCTTTCTTGCATTTAGGGTTCCTTTCTTGCATTCAGGGTTTCTTTCTTGCATTCAGGGTTCCTTTCTTGCATTTAGGGTTCCTTTCTTGCATTCAGGGTTCCTTTCTTGCATTTAGGGTTCCTTTCTTGCAGTCAGGGTTCCTGTAGGCCAACACTGGTTCATATCTGTGCTTAATCTGTGCTCTTTAATTATGATGGAGGATTTAAGCATTCTAAATATAGTGCTTTTAGTCATTGATTTGGCAAAGAACGAAATAAGTTTACAATTACCGGGAATGATGTGTAAAGTGGAAATTCCGTACAGTCGTCTTTGAAGTCCCAATATTTGTGGCTAACACTGTATCATTTTATTGTGATGGCTTTTCGTTCGGTCTGTAAATTATCTCTGTATTATAAATAACGCTTTTTAACCGAGTGAGGATTTAGGAACTATAAAGTAAGAAAGTAAGGTATAGACGCAATTAACCTTAACAATTGACTTTTAACCCTATTCCTGCTGGGGNTGACTTTTCCTACATACCCAAAGCCCTCCCTTCAGGCCTAAAACCGGGCTTTAATACTAACTGCCTGAGTCCTCAGGCATACTGCCTGAATGATTGCTTTTTCCTGTAACAAACTAAATCTTTGTTTTGACCCACTTTCACTTTGCAGATTTTGATAAAATTTCGCTTTTTGGAAAGCCTTTGACAGAAAGAAACGAATTGCACAAGTTTTGCAAAACAAAAAAATTGCAAATTTCATGCAAACAACCTGTCATAGGAAATTTGCACATTTTTAGTTTTTCTTGATTAAAAATCAGGTTATTTTCTTTTTTAAACTCAATTTTTGCAAATTTGCAAATTTTTTTTCCAGATTCTAAAAGTAGAGCACTAGAGTTTTCCAATGATGTATCATTTGTCATATTTGGACATCAAACATGGGATTTAGAGGGGGGGGGGGTCAAATTGACCCCCCCCCAGCATATCCCGGTTTACAAGTACCCCAGCAGAGATAGGGTTAAAGTGGTATATAAATTGCATCTTTTATTAAATTCAATTTGTACTTTATAAGCATTAAGCATTAACACATTTTAGATTTTAAAAATGTGGTCTGCCTATGTGTGTAACTTTAAATTTTAAAAACTTAAAGAATTAGTTCAAATCTAAAAAAGTAGATAATACAAATGTTACGAATATTTACTTATATATTATATATTAATGTTATATAATGATTAAGATACAAAATTGTAACAACAATTATTTTTTTTTAATCCAAAAAAACTAATTCGGAAGACGACATTTATTCAATCGTGTTAGTATTTGATGTTGTTATTTATTGGTACCGTGCTGGGTAAACCCAGATTTGTATTTTCTAAATCATTATGTAACTGCAATACTTAAAACGCAGAAAACCAAAACCAAAGTTTAAATCGTCGCGTTTTAAGAGTTTCAGGTCGTCTTTACAGTCTATCCTTTATAGCTTGGAAATCAATTTATTGAGTGAAAATTATCGTTGTGTAATTTCTGTTTATAATTATAAACTTAATAGAAACTCATGTATAAAGAACTCAATAAAGGCAACTTTACAAAGTAGATTCATAATTTGTTTTAAAAAATTAAAGCTGACCCTGACACATCCTGACTCCCCCGCCCCACCCTCACACCCCCCCCCCCATTTCCTGAATCCCCATTTACGCTCACATATGCCAACTTTTCTATTCTCTCCCTAACTCAGTCTAGAGTCTACTCTCTAATCTTCTATGAACAACAGCTGACTGAATTACACAAACTGATTTTACGAAAATCCGCGAATCTCTTTTGTAAATGTGTAAGGTGCAACAGTGTGCACTGATGGTAGTTATTATTATTTTTTTTTCAGATATTTTAATTGCAGCGAGTAAAGCGTAAAATTTAGATAACAATGGCACACTTATTGGTAAGTCTTTTAATTATATCCTTTAATCTTAAATTTACTGCTTACACACATTTAAATATTTTTTTAAAATATTTTTTTCAGACTGTTGTAAGAACATCGAGTTTCAGGGCCGTACTTCATTCCAATATAAGGTACTAATTATTTATTTATTTATTTAAAATAAAAATTCCTAATTGTGTCTTACGTGAGTACTAAAATTCTGGAATGGAAAGACAACTTTTAGACTCAAGTTATGAACATATGACTCAGAAAGTGTACAATATAAACAGATCTATTTCACTTAAAAAGTTTTGCTTGAATGTTGTCTTCATTCTCCATAGCTTTCTGGTTTTACTGTATCTCTAGTATATTAAAATAACATTGCGATTGATAATGTTATTTTAACATTTTAAAAAGTTGACTAACTCCAGTATGAAGTTTTAAACCAAGCTGTTCCCGTGGTTCTACCAAGTTACCTCATCCAAATTTGAAGCAAATCGGTCAAGGGTTTAGAAACGGGCATATAAACACAGATTACTACTTTATATTAATTGATGCAAGGGATATATATGAAGCTAAAATCTTATTCTTACATAGTATTGAGAAAACTGTTTCTTATAAATATGATATCACGTTATATTCTAGCTGTATGCCATGCATGTGTTTGTTTATTTGTTTGTCCGATCATGAATAATTAACCCTTAGACCGATTTGCCTCAAATTTTGATTGGGGGACTCGGGAGACTCACGGGGATGTTCTTCGATTGGTTTTAGAATTCTAAATTGAGTGGGTCGACTTTAATAGCGAAAATTTAGTTTCCCGGTAAAATCATTCAGGTAAGGTTAAACGGTGGTAGAAAGAAACTATGAGAAACCTGGGCAGCGCTGAGTTCCTATAGCTAGTACATATATAACATTTTAATCTATATTTGCCTGTTTTTGTGTGTCGATCATAACTCAGGAACCCCATGTCTGATTTGCCTCAAGTTTCGGTGAGGGTAGGAGAGCTACGGAAATGTTATTATCTTGGCTAGCTTTGAGATTTTTAGTGTGTTGGTCCACTTTTATATGGCTATAGATACAAGCCTCTGTAGTTGGGGCTTCACGGCTTCGGCTACTTCCACTCGGGCATAACAGTATCATTGCACATGTCATGCTAACTCTGTAACCCAAGTACTCCTAAGGGAGGCGGAGGGTTGCCGGGAGGGGTGGTTTCCTGGAAACATTTGTGTTATTGGGATGTCCTAATAGATAGATAGATAGATAGATATGGAAAAGAGCTAAAGTCGTAATTAACGACAAGGGGCGGGTAAACGGCGATGATAACTATGAGTAACCTGGGCAAAAAATAAAAGCAATTAAATTTATTTACAGTTTTATTTAATTGAAATAAAACATCGCATTATTTTAAGATAGATATATTGCAACCTTCAGTTTCTGTAAAGGGACTGTAAACGTAATGTTTAAGTGACCCTCCATGCACAGATGGCAATGTCCGATTACAAGGATACCTTTGAAAGCTTTAATTGTCTGATAAAGTATGAATTATTTGTCAGTGTTTTTCTTTTCTTTAAACTGTTTATTTTCATTTGATACTTGCACACGCATTTCTTGTTTAAAGAAGCAATGGAAAAATTCGTAGAAATGAACACCTTTAGATATAGTAAATGCCCTACTCCATAAAGGTTTCTCAAACCTATATCTATCCAGATAAAATTCAGTTTCACTTAGCTATCAATGTCTAAATCGGTCACAATCTCGTCAACTATCAATGTCAACAAGGCCACTAGCTTATAAACTATCAATGCCAAACCAATGGGCATGATCTCGTAAGCTATTGATGTCAACTGGACACTAGCTCGTAACTATCAATGCCAAACCATTGGGCATGATCTCGTAAGCTATTGATGTCAACTGGAAACTAGCGCGTAACTATCAATGCCAAACCAATGGGCATGATCTCGTAAGCTATTGAAGTAAACCGGACACTAGCTCGTAACTATCAATGCTAAACCAATGGGCATGATCTTGTATGCTATTGATGTAAACCGGACACTAGCTCGTAACTATCAATGCTAAACCAATGGGCATGATCTTGTATGCTATTGATGTAAACCGGACAATATAGCTCGTAACTATCAATGCTAAACCAATTGGCACTATCTTCTCTACTTACTTGTTTAAAACAAGGAACGAGTATTCTCTCACAATAATAAGTACGGAGTCTCTATATCAACTGAGTATATTTCTAGGTGTTAGATTAAAGCGTAATTACAAGTTATATATGCGTTACTATATATAACATAGTTAATCAATCACAGTATGGGTTTTACGGAATTACTTATATGCGTATCCAAGTAAACTAAATCCCAATACATGTTTTGGGTATTTACAAATAAGCGTATTAACCTCTATAGACAATGTACAATGTAATTTATCTAGATTACTGTGGAGCCTCTGTATTTACTAAATAGAGTCATAAAAACAATTGTTAATATTAAGGTTTCAAGGGTATACAGATGTAAATCTGGCATTGTAATCTTTGAAAGGAAGGTGACTTGACAGTACGCTTTGCATTTTATTTCATCTATAATTTCAATTTTTGTTTTATATTTTAGATGTATGTCCTCTGGTCTTCTATTAAACGAACCTAAATACTCCTTTCTCAAGGTATATTTAGATTTTTATTTTTTGAGCACTTTATCACTCAAGGTCAAATTATGAATTGAATTTCATTATAGACGTGCCATGGATTAATCAAAGTGCTATAATGTTAAATTAAACTATACATAGAGCTGTGATTTTGGAATTGTTAACGATTCTTTTGATTGTTTTGAATAGTATTTTGTGTTCTTTCCGTATTCTGAGGAGTGCAATGTGGACCCCATTATTATATTTATATTAAAGGGGCTGTATAAGCCAATATCAAAGGACTTTCACGCAATGATGGCAATGTCCGATTTACAACGGTACCCTTAAGAGCGATGAATTATATATTTAGGTTTATACTTTTGAAAATCAATTGTTTTCAATTGAGGTTTCTCTGCAAATTTATAACTTTATACATTTTCAGAATTAAACATTTGATTTAATCAACCTAGAGAAGTATCTTCCCACATTGTTGATTTTAAGGGTAACATTGTGAATTTATAGGCATTGCCTTTACGTAAGGATCAATTGAAATTAACCTAACATTCCATTTAATAGTAATACTGTATCTCTTTATAGGATCTTGGCTTGGAGGAAACTAATGCCGGAGTTTATGACGGGGCATGGAAAGGTTCAGGAGAGGTAAGACGACAATTATTCAAAAGACGACATTTAAAACCTTATTTATATATAAATTTCCATCAAAATTCGATTTTCATTAAATTTTCTAAAATTTTGAAAATCTACGAAATTTTTTGTTAAAATCCGCGAACTTTTTTGTTTTGTTTTACGATGTACACAAAGAGAACATGTTCACAATTAAAATAGAAGATGGGCGCGAAGCGCCATAAAAAGGCTAGTTTTTAAAAATTGGTTATCAAACATTTGTGTAGATTGTGACCTCTATCTGTCCCTCTAATGGGCGTCCTATTGCCGCTGTAAGGACAGGAAACCTGCAGGATTATGAGGACTGTGTCAAGCAAGCTCAGGAAGCGTGGAAGGTATGATAGAATTAACAATATAATCATCATCGTTCATGAAGTAAATTTCAAATACACAAGAATCCCAATTGAACGTTTCATTCCTAATTAGGCTTAAAATTGTAAACAGATATGCAATTATATCAATGCAATGAAAACGAATTTTTTATTTAATTGATTTGATTGTTAACAAGATTTTTCGAAGTACAAGTAATCAAAGATAAACTTTTTTTTTATTGACAGCTTCTCTTGATATAAATCAAAATTGAAATCGAACAGCGCGGTGGCGTGGAAGGCTCTGAGAGCGATCCTGGCAGAAGGCTTCATTGTATTGATAGAATCGCCTACCACTCTAATGCGACCCCATATGGCACACTAAAACCGGGAATAATTTAGGAAATGATTTGGCCCTGGTAGTTTCAATCAAAGTAACCAAAAAATTGTTGAGTTTTCAAAATGAAATCAAGTTTCTTTTTATGATTGAAAATTGTTCAATTGTTTAACATAAACTTCACTAGAAGGGGATCTTTTATTTGGCGTACAGTCCCGTTTTGCTTTATATATTTTGTATTTGTACTGTACTGCTTGCCTTGGCTGGTTGAAATTCGGCCTGGTACATGAAATAAACTTAGAAATTTAGTCAGACTTTTCTTTTTTAGAATAACGATCAAATGCACGATTTTAATTAAGTGATTAATTATCGACTGATTTATTGATTGATTGATTTAGGTTTGGGCGGATATAACTCCGCCTCATCGTGGTGAAATTGTCCGCCAGATTGGAGATGAACTCAGGTGAGCAATGATTTAATATTTTGTCTGATTTATGAATTATGAATATTTTTGTAACTAAAGCTACAGGTCTGATCTAAAAACTCTAGTTTTGAAATGCCCTTGAAAAATTGATGTAGAAATATGTGTCACACTTTGATATTTGTTTAATAGCAAAAAAAAATATCTTTTACATTTCCCTGGCACCCAATCTAATAAAATTATCGGTCTATTTTTTTCCAATGAGATGGCATTTAAAAATTAAGTTTTGAACTATGAACATGTATTTTAACCCTACCTATATTTTCAAAGGCTTTTTTAGGGGGGGGGGTGTCCCTAGGCTTTACATAGATTCAGGCCCTCAGCCTTTATCCTGTTAATTTTCTTCATTTTCTTCATAAGATTAAAAATGATCAATTTTAGACTAGAAAATAAAAAAGTCTTTATGATTGTTTCCTTAATTCATCTTTCTCAAACTTTGTATTTGGGGATATTTTTAGGAGTCAGCTGTTACCCTTGGGGAAACTGGTGTCACTGGAGATGGGGAAAATAGTCCCCGAGGGGGTGGGGGAAGTCCAGGTAATATTTTGTATTATGTACGTAGACAATATGGGACATATGTTTTGGTTAACTTGATAAAGCTAAAACAACAATTGTTTACTGAAGATTTTAAAGATTTGTAAAAGAATAGGGTTCAGGAGATCAATTAAAATAGACGTTTTTTTGTACTTTTACAAAGAAAAACAATTCAAACGGCTGGACTGATTGGACTCAAATTTTGTGTGGACACTCATGGGTGGCCGGAGGGTGTTATAGGCTTAAAAAAAATTCAAAATTCTTTTTTTCTAAATTTTGTTTTAAAATTTTTTTTTATTTAAAAAAAATTTCAACATTTAAAAAAAAAAAATTTTCCACGGGCAACGCCGGGCCCTTCAACTAGTATTATAATAAATTCATATGTTGAAATTTTTTATTTCAGGAATATGTTGATATTTGTGATTATGCTGTCGGGCTATCAAGAATGTTTGCAGGACAGGTACAGTGAAACCCTTAATAACGAATACATCGAAAGAATTCATCAAATGTCGTATTCTTCAATTTCTGATGATGTAACGTAGCAGATATTTAGTTTTTTAATTAAATGATTATATGGAAATCTTTAAAACTGTTCACGCATATTCATGGCTATTTATTTTATTTCGCAATTACTGAAATTTACGTAATAAAGTATAAAACTCGTTGAAAAATTTTCAAGACGACATTTAATAAATTCTTCCGATGTATTCTTTACTAAGGGTTTCACTGTATATACAATACTTAATTTTTTTATAATGCCATAAGATGTATTTTTTTCTTCTCTTTTTCGGATTTCAAAAATAAAAAATAAAAATTTAGAAAAATAAATATGGTAATTTATCTTTTATAAGAAAAGCTCAGTTTTAAAATAGCAAAGTTTATGAAAAATTATAAATGATAAAAAAATGATTGAATTAGGTAATTCCAAGTGAGAGGCCGGGGCATGCTTTGATAGAAAACTGGAATCCTCTCGGAGTTATTGGTAAATATAAAATATTTTCAAAATTTGCTTCTATTTATTGCAATGCAAAATTTTTAGTTTAGTTTAGAGATCAATCAAATCCTTTGGGTTGATATTTTTAACCAAAGAAAAATATGTTGCTTAATGCTTAATAGAAAACTTATAGAAAATTGAATTTTTCTATGGGTTAAAACATCTCATATTCTTTTAGAGAACATTTAATGCCAAACAACCTTGACATTTGTTAAAACGGAATCCAAACAGTATCAATAATTTTGTTTCTCTTCGTGCCATGGTGGATCACATCAAACTGTTTAACATGGACTACTGTTAGACTCATAAAATTCAAGATATGATTTCATTTTTTAATTTGATTTTCAAACTATTGATGAGACTATTAATTTAAAACAGCATCAAATACAACACCATTAGGATGCAAAAATATATTGATTAGAAGACTTGAATTGATATGTAAATGTGTTCAGATCCCCGTTCTCGAAATGTTGCCTGAATTATAGAGATATTAAATACTGCACTATAGTTTCAGTAATAGTAAATATTTCCATTTTGTGTATAGCACTGATTTAAGTATTTATCTGTAATTGGATGATGAGATAGATAGAAAGATAGATGTTACTGCCATGTATAATATCTATTGGTTCAGAATAGACAACAAACACAGGACTAAACCCTGATTGGATCAGACGCTTACGGACTCGGCATACAAGAGTGACTGTTTAGGTATTATTACTGCTTTTAATTTCCCTGTAGCTGTTTATGGTTGGAACTCAGCTCTAGCAATGGTCTGCGGAGACACTATGATCTGGAAGGTAGAATTTTAAATTAAAGGGACAATAGACTAATTTCAAATAAAGGGAGTGTAGACGACATTAAGGTGACTCTTAACTGTCCAATTCATAAGCTTTACTGATTTAGTTTGAATAAGATATTCATGTGATTCTTTTTGAAAACTATTTTAACAATGAAAGGGACTTTATACTAATTACTTGAACTTAGAATTTCTGATCCCAATAAATGTGTAAGCTAAAGGTGCATGAAAACCTTCAATATTTCAAATATTACACATTTGTAATATGATAAAAAATTTCAAAAATTAAATTTTGAATATATTTTTGTGCAGGGAGCCCCCTCTACCCCTCTGACCTCAGTAGCAATAACAAGATGTGTTGCTAAAGTTTTAGAGAATAATAGTCTTCCTGGAGCAATATCTGCTCTATGTCAGGTTAGCAATATAACTATTTCCAATGTTACTGTATATGGAGGATCGTGTTAAACAATTGTATACGTCATTAACCAATGTTACTGTATATGGAGGAATGTGTCAAACAACTGTATATATCATTAACCAATGTTACTGTGTATGGAGGAACGTGTTAAACAATTGTATACATCATTAACCAATGTTACTGTATATGGAGGAACGTGTTAAACAATTGTATACATCATTAACCAATGTTACTGTGTATGGAGGAACGTGTTAAACAATTGTATCTGTCATCAACCAACGCCACTGTATAGGGAGGAACAGATGTAGGTCAGCGTATAGCAGAAGATCCACGTGTTAAACTAGTCTCATTTACCGGAAGTACTGAGGTTGGCAAGAAGGTAGCCATGACAGTTCAAAACAGGTTTTATTTTATTTTATAAAGTTAAATAATACTAATAAACAATGAAAAAGAAGAATATAATGATTAAATTAAAGGCATTAGTGTATTTTGTTGATTCTGCCAATGCTTCTTGAAACAGTAATATCTTTATTTTGTGTTTGGCAATAATTTTTGTATTTAACGTTACCATACTATCTTGTAAAATATCAATTTACTTTATAAATTTGTAAAGTTAATTGATTTTTTTTCTAACAGTGTGTATCATATCTAGGGTTTCCAATGCAAGTTAATTTTACTTGTATGCAATTGCGAGCCCTGTAAACTCCGCTCAATTCCGCGCAATTCAGTACAATTCCTCGCAATTCGAAAACAGTTGCGCACAATTCCACGCAACGTAATTTCAATTGGCAACCCTAGTATCGCCCAATTTCCAAAACATAAAAATTAAAAATTTACTGTAATAATAATGAATTGTGAGAAGGATTTTCTTAAACATTTCAATTTTTAAATATGTAAAGAATCTTTCTTTAATATACAGTGGTAGGCGAATATAACAATACAATGAAAACTACTTTCGTTTCCAAATTTGTTTTATATCTAGCTGTTAAACAGCATGGATGGATACACATTAACATCAAAGTTAAGAGAAGCTGTCAGCTAAAAAAATCTTTGATTACTTGTAAACTTGTAATTCGAAAAAAGCTTGATAAAAGTCAAAACATAAATAAAAAGTCGTCTTCATTCCATTGATAAAATCGCCTACCACTGTATGTTATTAAAAAAGATAATTACATTATAATCCCTTTATGTGAAGGTTTGGTAAACATCTGCTTGAGCTGGGAGGTAACAATGCCCTGATAGTAAATGAAGATGCTGATCTTGAAATGGTTGTCAGGTTAGCTTGTCTCTTATATCTACTCTGATACTCAATGAAGATGCTGATCTTGAAATGGTTGTCAGGTTAGCTTGTCTCTTATATCTACTCAGATAGTTAAGGAAGATGCTGATCTTGAAATGGTTGTCAGGTTAGCTTGTCTCTTATATCTACTCTGATACTCAATGAAGATGCTGATCTTGAAATGGTTGTCAAGTTAGCTTGTTTCCCAATTACTGTTAAAAACACCAAAGCAAAAAACAAATGTTTTAAGGTTTTAAGTTAGTGATATAAAATCAAAAGCCAAGGCATTGTGACAATTTAATGTTCATAAGCTAGTATTTAATAAGGTTCAAGAACTATAATTTATCATTTGATTGTAAAAAATTTTATTTTCAATTCAGAGGAAAAAGTGTATTTATGATTTTCAATAATATTGTTTTTATTTTGCTAGATCAGCTGTGTTTGCTTGTGTTGGTACCGCAGGACAAAGATGTACAACGCTCCGAAGATTAATCCTCCATGAGAAGGTTTATGACGAGGTATTTTTTAACATTATTTCTGCCTAGCTGTTAATAGCGCAATGTGTAGAGATCAGGACTGCCAGATGGCTATTTTTCCAGCCACATTTCCTTAAAATGGCTTTATTTCACAGCTTTGACCAAATGTGGCTTATATGGCTTTAAAGTGTTTTTTTTCAGGATTTAAAGTAAAACCTTATATTTTGCCTTGTTTAATGTACAAATCATTTATCATGTTATTATCATATTTCATTTTGTTCAACCGTGTTTACAATTAGCCAGCATTTAGAAACAGCAAAATTGTTCTTGAAAAAGTTTAATCATTAGATCTGAGGACTTCACATAATTCAATCAGCCCTCGAACTCATGGCATGCAGAATTGATCTCATCCCTATAAAAGTTTTGCAGCAGGTTCTGTATTATAGCTGAAGTCTTTTACATTAAGTATCTTTTTCAAACTTCTTCATTAATTCTCTTCAGTCTTAAGAAAATGTCTTTTTTGAGTTTGATATCTTATGTTTTTATAAATTTCGCAAGATTACATGTTAAAATTGAAAAAAAAACTTTTAAGGAATAAAAGATAACCAGTAAAGGGTTAAATATCTACTTTATTAGCAAAAAATGTTGCTTAGTATTGGCTCTTTTTACTATCACAAATGGTTGGAATGGCTCTTTTTAAAAATTATAATGGCAATTTTTCTTGAAATCTGGCAGGCTTGGTAGAGATCACAAAAAAATTTATTTTTCTTGTCGACATATTTTTCTCCTTCATTTTTTTTGTTCTGTTGTTGAATGTCCCTCCTGGAAATTTAGAAAAAATATATTTTTACAAAACACTATTAATTTTAAGCTTTAGATAAAAAAAATATGTTTTTGTCTCATGAAAAAGATGAAGTACACAGAGTATAAGTGTTTTTTTTGCAGGAAAAATCTGCACTGAATTAGTTATTGAGTTGCTCAGTAAGATTGTTAGCGATCAATATCAAATTCAATTAATTCTAGCTGTTCATAGCCGAACAAAGTTTTTAAAGTTTTTGAATAGTTAGACTATGAAAATAAGTGTCACCGCAAATCGGTTGTTGAGAGACTTCCGGATTTTCTCGTGGAGTCTCTGTGAGTCAGGATTAACACTTTTTAACATTGCGGATTTACAGGTTTTGGAGAAATTGAAGAAGTCGTATTCCTCTATCGTGAAGAGGGTTGGAGATCCACTAGATGATGGAACTCTATATGGTCCTCTACACTCAAAACAAGGAGTGCAAGCATATCAGAAGACTATCCAGGTACAGACTGACCGATAAATGATTTTTATAATTTTGTACATGGATTTTAGACATGGATATAATTGACCATGTGGCCGCAGCGCTCGGCCCCCTAGCCTGTCCTAGCCGCAGCGCTCGGCCCAGAAAGTGTCTGAGCCTAACCTAACCCTAAATAATAATAAATAAATACTAATTTGGTCATGTAATAGGAGGGGGGGGGGCCTGGGGGGGTCCGAAAATCGTTCACTAGGACGGACCCGAAATTGATAGTGTGTAACTGTTGAAACTATATACAGGGTTACAAATAAAGAATGAGACTTCAGAGACGACTGTACGAAAACTGTATGTCTCCTGAAATTCTTTAATCGCCATTTTTCGTGTTCATCAGTCGTCTTTACAGTCTCATCCTTCTACCCTAGATTGCTAAAAATATCGAGGCACATTTTTAAATTTGATTGTATCAAAAATCAAGAAATTCCTTAGAATCATTTTATAATTAAAGGGACTGTAAGTTCATGTGACCCTTCAACCCGATTCACAACTTTATCCTTGTCACCTTTATTTCATCAAAACGGTGATATTTTCGTTTTTATAGGTTTAATTCAGTGTTTAATTTTGATAATTTTGCAAATCACTTTTGCAGAGAAATCACAATTGAAAATAATAATTTTCAAAATTAAAACATTATTATCTTATCCATACTTGATCAGATAAAGCTTCAAGAATACCGTTGGGGGATACTTGAAATTACGATGACAGTACCTTTAAATTGAAAAGAAGACGACAATAATTTCTCTTTTTTATCATCAGGATGCTGTGAGGGAAGGAGGTAAGATTGAGTTTGGAGGCAACCTGATGGATAGAGAAGGGAACTACGTAGAACCAACAATTATATCTGGACTCAACCATGATTCTCCCGTTGTACACAGGTAATAGAAAAGGGAACTACGTAGAACCAACAACTCAACCATTTTTCACCAGTTGTACACAGGTAATGGATAAAGAAGAAAACTATGTAGAACCAACAATAATATTTTGATTATGATAGACAACATCTGCCACATTATAGATCAGATAAAGGTAAATACGACAACATCTGCCCCATTATAGACCAGATAAAGGTAATTACGTCAACACCTGCCACATTATAGATCAGATAAAGATAAATACGTCAGCATCTGCCACATTATAGATCAGATAAAGGTAAATACGTCTACATCTGCCACATTATAGATCAGATAAAGGTAAATACGTCAACATCTGCCACATTATAGATCCGATAAAGGTAAATACGACAACATCTGCCACATTATAGATCAGATAAAGGTAAATACGTCAGCATCTGCCACATTATAGATCAGATAAAGGTAAATACGTCAACATCTGCCACATTATAGATCAGATAAAGGTAAATACGTCTATATCTGCCATATTATAGATCAGATAAAGGTAAATACGTCAACATCTGCCACATTATAAATCAGATAAAGGTAAATACGACAATTTCTGCCACATTATAGATCAGATAAAGGTAAATACGTCTACATCTGCCACATTATAGATCAGATAAAGGTTGCAACTCAAGAAAGGATTACCTGCGTAGTTTTTGCATGTTGAAGAGCTAGTTTCTGCAAGGCATCCAGGTAAATATCCTTTGTGGTCACTTATAGTTCTTAATGTTTAATTGATCTCTACTGAGTGTTAGGTTTGGGTAAAAACATGAAAATTATCTTTTTTTGACAGTTTTGTTGACAAGATAAAAATTATTTATATAAAATAGTCAAGCCTACATGTTAAGACTAAAAAATGAAATAGCAGAGTCCGAATTAAATCAATTTATGCCCCGTCTCAAATCAGCCAAAAACAGATTTCAATTGAGCGCCGGCTTAAATTATGAAACTGTATTAAATACAATTTTAAGTGGAACAAATTTTTGAGCCTCATCTCAAATTTAAGCCGCGGCCCAATTTTTTTTTTAACTCGTTCGGCCTCAGTTCACTAGAAATTAATACACCTCTCCCTATGATAATTGATAATTTTATATTTGGAACAAATTTCTTTTTTTGGGACAAATTCACTCACTTCGGAATAAATTTCATTTTTGAAGTAAATTCACACTTTGACTTTTGAGCACAAAACGCAATTTGGGACAAATTACATTTTTGAAGCAAAGTTACACTTTGCTCACTAAGCGCGCTTTGGAACATTTAGTGATTTTGCAATATTTATCAGAGGCAGAAATTAAAAAATTTGTGCTGCGGCTGAAATTTGAGAAGCGGCTCAAATATGGTTGGATCTACTTAAAATTGTATTCAATGTTTCAAGATATAAGCCGGCGCTCCATTTAAATTGTTTGTTTTTTGGCGGATTGAGTCCCGGCTCCAATTCATTAAATTCGGACTCAGAACAAGTTTTTTAATTAGAGATATCGTAAATCTGAAAAACTTAAAAGATGATTAGACCTGCACGGTATAACCTTCACGGAAAATCCTCGAGGAATGATGGATGAAGTTAATCTGTCACTCCTGTATGCCGATCCATTAGCGCCTGATCCAATCAGGGTTCAGTCATGTACTTGTTGTCTATTCTGTACCAATAGAAATAGTATGGTGGTAACATCTATCTCATTATCCAATTAGAGATATTTATCCTTCAATCGGCGCTATTAGTAAATGGAAATATATACTTATACTGAAATTATAGTGAGATTAATCTGTATAAGATCTTCATTAGTTGGAGATCAAGGCTTGATCTCAAGATTAACAACACAAAATTGTTTTACTTCAGAGCGGGGAACTTTTCTCTTGAACGGATATCCATTATTCCTAAATCTTGATGAACAATCCTGATATCCGCAGTGGATACTTTTATATTGTGAATCTCGGATCAAGCATTGATCTTCATCTTGAGAATATGTAAACGTAATATTGTTTTAAAGTTTGGACACTCGTTATATCACGTTATCACAGATATAATGTATGATAAATTCTTACCTGACTTTTTGAAAATACCCCAAATATTTGAAATAAGAAATCTGCCAAATTTGATGTAGAGTCTGTGTAGAGTCTGTGTAGAGTCTGTGTAGAGTCTGTGTAGAATGATGAGTGTACGAGTATCAAATGAAGAGAGAAAAAGACTGACTGGTTTTAACAGAAAGCCATATTTCTCCCTCCAGGCTTAACTCTTTATATCTTCTTTTGAGGAATTCTTTTCAAAGTCCCCATTTTGCATTTCCATCTGTTTTCTCTTCTAGTCCATTTGTTCCTAATCGTCTCCATTTTGTTTTACTCGTCTCCATCTTGGAAACGTGGTAGCATTAAGCTTTAAAGTAGATTTATAATTTGAAAGGCAATTCAAAATTTCTTTTTTAATTTTCATGAAATATAAGTTTAAACAATATTAGATTATAAATGATAATTCAGAACTTTGTATTTGTAAGACATTCTGCTGTAGACGGAGTCAAAACCAAGCTTTAAAGCAGTTCGACTAAATGCAGGACCTAACTGCCTGCGTTTCTGTATACCAAGACGAAACAAAATAAATAGAATTCGGTAAAAATACTGGCTTCCCATTGGTTAACGCTAAACGAACTTAAAAATGAAGAGCCAATGAGAGGCCAGGACTTGTGACGCCAAGACGTAGGTTAGAAAGGGGGGCCACAGAGGGGACAGCTGTATATATATATATATGCACCAGAACCTTCTTATAGGGATAGAACAAAATAATTATCCGTTCGAAACAATTAGATCCTCTTAACCCTATAAAGGATGTGGGGTCCCAAGCCCCCCCCCCCAGAATAGGCGTAGGGTTGAAATGCACGTTTATATCTCAATTTTTCAAGGCCAATTCATTGAAAAAAAATTAGACGGATAACTTAGGTTTGGGTTTAAACAAAACCGCCAAAAAAAAAGTAAAAAAGTGTAAAAATATTTTTTTTTTAAACAAATATTAAATATTAAACACATGTTTCTACATCCATTTATTAAGGGTTTTTCAAAAATATAGTATTTAGATCTGTAGCTTTAGTCACAGGCAAAATTCTCTCTTTAATATAAAATTAATAGTTTATTCAATAATTTACCTTCGAAAAAAATTAGTTTACGGTTGCAGAGGACCATGAATATATAGTTACAGTATATTAAACATTCCGTACAGTTGTATCTGAAGTATTATCTTTTGTGGGTAACCCTGTATATTAAGACTTTTTTTATATTTTTAAAAATTGATTAAATCACAAAACTAAACTAACAAAAAAGCATGAAATAGAAAATAAGAAAACTTTTTTTTAGATAGAAATAAGTTCCAAAATAAAAGTTCTCAGTCTTTTAATAATTTAATTTAATTTACCGTAATTTTTCATTTTTTACGAACACTCCCTTTAAAATAAAAAAAGTCATATTAGCACGCGGTTTCTTGCTAAAAATAGAGCGCAATTGCGGGCCCTGTAATTTCCGCACAATTACGCTTACTTCTGAGCAATGCGAGAACAGTTGTGCGCCATTTCGCACAACGGAATTCCGATTTGAAACGTTATCTGTGCAAAGCCTAGGTTTACAACTGACGAATGAATGACGTATTGCCGCCATTAGATTCTGTACAGTCTGATTTTCTATGAATCATTGATTTATCATAATTTTTCTCATCGTTATATCCATGGCAGGGAGGTTGGAAGGGGGGGGAGGTCAAAGGAATATACAGGGGGCTAATCCCCACCCCGCTTTAGATATAAAAACTACAGTTTTTGGGTTACCCGCCCCCTCTGAATAAATTGTTACACCCCCCCTGCATACGCCCCTGAGAAGGGTGGTGCTTAGACATATTCAATGTGGGGGGGGGGGGCCTTAAATGTATAATCTATATAATAAAAGCTCTTTAGCTCATTTCTTTGTATAAATGTTAGCTTTAGATGGCCAAACGGCTGGACCGAATGGGCTGACATATTTCAGGGAACTTTTGAGTACCCATGAGGTAATATTTTTTTTTTTTGAAAATTGGAATCTGCTTAATAGTATATTACTATTAATTCTATTATAATTATATATTTTCTTCATTTTATTATTAATATCAATATTATTATTAATCATATTATGTTTATCATTATTTTAATTATAATTTTCTATATATTTGATAAATAAAAGAGGGGTTCAATTGATGAAAATTCAAGTTAAGGAAGTTAAGGAATTCATTACTTTTCTGGACTCCATTCTTAATATCCTTGTATCTTTGCAACAGAAAGTCGTAGATCTGATAATATGAACTAGCTGAAGTGCCCGGCGATGGCCGTGGACATTTTGTTTTTAATTAAAAAAGATTAATTTCGAATTTTCAGAAAAAATATCGATTTTTGAAGAAAATTTGAATATTTTTGCCTATGCTTGGATAGTTANCCCCCCCCCCTTCATAGGTACCCATTAAGGGTTTCCTCAAAAAAAGTTTGGCCAGCTATAGTTGGCATATAGATATATGTATCAACAAAAATTCATACATGAGCGAAAAGCTTTTTTATTTAGATTTGAAACAATCATTTATAAATCAAGAAATAAAAGTTTTAGATATCGTAGGTGTCAACCATTATGTTGTAAATAGTGTGGCGCGAAAACCCAAAATCCAAATTTCATACATTATTGGATTTATTGCAACAAAGATTTTCTTATGAGCTATAAAATGTTGAAATCCAATGAATTGAAAAGTGAGTCTTAACATAGATTTAGTTTGGTAAAGTTAAAACATGGCATTCAGCCCAAGGTTGTAAGGCAAGGAAAGTCATTTCAGAAGTGTACACATCTTTAGTACTGCAGTGTACTGTCTCTGGGCGCTAATGTAAACACAAGACGGATGTCGAAGCCTGACATGGGATAAATAACTATCTTTATATATATATATATATATATATATTGTTTCCCTGTCTGTTTGTTTGTATCCAAAAAATGTCAAAACGGCTGAACCGAACGAGCCCTAATTTTTTGTGGGACCTTGCGTGACCCCAGGTATAGGTTTCTGGAAAAACGAGTTTTCAATAATTTGCCACTAACAAAATTCGATTTTCGAAAACTTTGAAATTTCACGAAATTTACTTTATGAAATCTGCAAAATTTGTTGTTTACTTTTGTTTCACAATGTACACAATGAGAAAATATGTTCACAATTGAAATAGAAGATGGGCACAAAGGGCCCTAAAAGCCTAAGATATAAAATTTCTAAACTAGCACCGGTTGGATTTTATCTAAACTAAGACCAAGTTAAAATTGAAGTTAAAAATAGATTTTCAGAGCAAGGAACAAAATTAGTAAGTTGATTTACTGCAAAGAATAACAGGGCCTTTGCCTCATTATAGATCAGATAAAGGTAAATACGACAACATCTGCCATATTATAGATCAGATAAAGGTAAATAAGACAACATCTGCCCCAATATGATAATAATTTGATAATGATATGATAATGATATGATAATGATATGATAATGAAAATAGTAAAATATTAAATAATTAAAATAATAAAATAATTATAATACTTTTAGAGAAACCTTTGCTCCAATTGTCTACGTGTTGAAGTGTTCTAGCCTTGAGGAGGGAATATCAATTAATAATGAAGTAGAACAGGGGTTGTCGTCTTCACTCTTCACTAAAGATCTAGGAAATGTTTTCAAGGTAATATACAGGGTGTAGACCCCCTCCCCCCCTCCTACATATAGACATGACAAGGTATTGTGATTCCAAATCATTTTATGAACTGCAAAAAAGTAGGAAACATAGTTACAAGTATAAATTGAATAGGAACATAATAATGGAATTAGATTTCGGCGTTGGGACATTTCATAGAAAAATATTTCAAAGATAGGACATTTCATAGATAGGACATTTCATAGAAAGACATTTCAAAGACAGACATTTCATAGATAGGACAATTCACAGATAGGACATTTCATAGACAGAGAAGATTTTCCATAGACAGAGGAGATTTTTCTATTTACGAAACTTTGCTTTCTTTGATTTTTCATAGACAAGAACAAATGTAAATACAGTGCTCCAAATATACATTGTTACAACGAATTTAAAAATCATTAAATACAAAATGTATTTTTTTAAGAACTTTGAATTCAACTTTTTCATCTGTGAATAAAAGTTTTCACTAATAATGTTTTTGTTGAATGAAAATGCTCGAGTGAATTGTTAAAAATCTGCTAAACATAATTGGAAAAACTTTTTATAGACAGGGAAAAATATGAAGATGAAAGGAAAGAAAAAAATTATTATATTAATAGTTTTCACATTCTATAATGAAACCAAACAATTTTATTTCCCTTGTAATTGGAAATAAAATAAAAAAGGTTCAACTTTCGAGTTTGCAAACTCGAGTAAACTTTCTTTAAAATAAGTTGCTTTTACTTTTTAAATTTTTAAACAATCATCTCAGTTTTGCGAAAATTTGCGTTTGTATTTCGCGGAAAAATGCAAAAAATAATTAGTTATAATTAATCATTTCTCTTTCTTAACTTTGCATTTTTTCTTCGCCTAAATTATAACATTTGTTTTTTTTTCGCGGAATTTTCTCATTTTTTCGCGACATTTTCGCTTATCTTGCAAGTAAACGAAATGGGAAAAAAATACGAAATTTTCGCGAATTAACCCTCTTCGCTGGAGACCTTAGTTCAGAGGCTAACACAGTACACACTTATTTTACACCACAATATGTTTTTTTCAGCCGAAAAAAAAGGAATTCAGATTTTCCCATAACCCAAATTTTCTAATCCCAGTATCTTTGCAACCTGATTATGTAACCCTTTTATTTCAAACTTAAAATTTGTTGATCTAACAGTATTTATAGTTTAAAATATCTAAAGTCTACCACATTGGGTTGCCAAAATATAGGGATTAGAAAATCAGAGTTTGCGGCAAAGACCCGATTTCTTGAGGTTCTAAAAGTTGCCCAATCATAATATGAGGTAAATTGTTCAAGTGTTTCATGAGTTATGATAGAATTTACAAACAAACATAACATATTGCTAATTATTTATATAGATTACTAATTCTAGTGGTTGGGACCCAAAGGATCAGATTGTGGAATTGTCAACGTGAATATCCCAACCTCTGGGGCAGAAATCGGCGGAGCTTTCGGCGGAGAAAAGGCAACCGGCGGCGGTCGGGAATCAGGTAATTAGGGGTAAAATAGTCGCCGGTGTTTTGAAACATTGAAATGTTTTGAAGTAATTGGCATAGTTATCTTATTGAAAAGACACTACAAATAACTCCCAATAAACTTATATCATGGTAACCTGTTGCAGTAAACCGTTACGATATCATGTTGCACAGATATAGGGTATTGAGTTTGAGGAGAGTCATCTGTTCCTAAAATACTAAAAACTTTATTCAATTCTAAATTATAATTTTTCGTACTCAATAGATTATGGGAGATATAGTTCAAATAAATGCTTATTTTCAATTATCTTTAAAAATTATGAACAATTTCACTTGTCAAGGGTCTGACTCCTGGAAACAGTATATGCGAAGATCCACCTGTACTATTAACTACACAAAGGAGCTACCCCTAGCACAGGTTAGTAAGGTCGTCGTCGTCAATATGATGAAGACGACTTTCGATTTTTATTTTTATTGCTGACAATCTTTTAAACAGCATGGTTAAAAAAACATAGAAACAAAGGGAAGCTGTCAACGTCTCCTTGTATATTGATGTAAACTTGTAATTTGGAAAACACTTTTTTAAAATCTAAACTGAAATAGAAAAGTCGTCTTCATTGTTCTCATATAAACGCCGATCACGGTAAAAAAGATTCTATATTCAAACAAAAAACATTAAAAAAATCTGAAGGGACATACCGGCTATGTAAGGTAGTTAAACTGAGTATGCATGTTGTGGACAAATTCTTTAGGATTCATTTAAGACATATAAAACTTTTTAAAGATCTGTAAATCATGAGTATGAGCGCAAAGTCGACGTTCAAAATCGTACTTCAGAATCGGTTTTTTTTAAATTATTAAATAATGACTACAAAAAATGTAAACAAAATTCTACAGTAAACTAATTAGTTGTTTAGGAACAGGTTGAGAAATTAAAAATTAACTCTTATCTAAAATAAGTAAGCTTATTCAATTATTAGTTTCTATAATCTCTCTTTAATCACAAAGATTTTCTGCAGATTTTCTGGAATTTTTATTAAAAAGATGACATTTGAAGAATTTGAAGAAATCTGCGAACAAATTCATGGAAATAGGAAATTCAATATAATGATGAAAAAAGAATTAATAAATTCTAACTTCGATTTATTGACAAATTTCTTTTGAAATATATGTTCCTAAACATCCAATTAGTTTACTATAGAATTTTTACTATATTTTTTTTCGTCGTTATTTAATAATTAAAAAAAAACGATTTTGACCGTCGACTAGTTTGCTCTCAAGCTCAGTAATTATACATCGTGGAAACCGTTTATATGTCTCAAAAGAATCCTAAAGAATTTGTCCATAACACTGCATACTCAGTTGAACTACCTTACATAGCCGGTCTGTCCCTTTAACATTTTTTTAATCTTTTACTCCTAATGTATAAAAAAAATTGGGCTGAATTTGATCATTGGAAATGTGATTTTGTTTCTGTCAATTTTTTTCTGTCGTCGTAAAATATATTTATTAATTGAAGACTATTTTCGATTTTAAATTTTTATTTCTATACCATGCTTTCAAACAACATGGATAATAAACATGGAAACAAAGAGAAGATTTAGATTAACCACTTCTCTTTGTTTACTCGTAGACTTGTATTTGTTAAGAAAACAAAATAGAAGATTTGTTTGTATTGTATTGGTATAAACGCAGACTACTTCAGTAAAAATTCAATATTTAAACAAAAACAGTAAAAAGTTGTCAACATTTTTTATTACTTTACATCTTAATTGTAAAATATTGGTTGAATTTGATAAATTGCAAATATATTTATTTCTGTAAATTTTCTGGAGATTATCATTATCAAAAAAATTACTAATCATACTGTGTGGGTCAGTAGCATGTACCTTTATTTTTTTAGGAAACACTTGCTTTAAGCTTGGATAGTTAATGATAAATCTGACTCGACAAACCTTGAACATTTGTAATATTAAATATTTTCTATTTTAGGGAATTAAGTTTGAGTAATCTTGACAGAAACATTTTCTTTGTTACGTGAACAGACTTCTATCCTTCCCAACATTCTGACTAATATACCCATCTATAAACATATCAATAAATGAAAACCTAATTCTGTCATATTATTTGTAATAAATAATATAATTATATTTTAATAAATAAGATTAGAAATATTTGGGTTTTATTAATTAATTAATCAATTTAGTGTTCATTCAGTAATTCAACTCCAAACAGGACTTTTCCCTTCAAACTAAAGTAAATTTCACGTAACGTAAGGTAACGTAACTCCTTTCATAAAAGAGCCATTGTTTTGAATTACTAATATGTTACAGAATACTTTGCCTTTATCATATTTGTGCGTTGAATCAAAACTTGTGGAGCTCCGAGGTCACAAAGGCGTACCAGTAATCACACGAAACCATCCCCTCCCGTCAAGTTTTGCAGGTTTTTGTGTTGTCCTAAATTTAAAAGTGCCTATTTTGGAAATAGAGATCAAGATTAACGATTAACAAGATTACCGAATGACTGTACTTCATTCATAGCCCTTGTTGTTAGCTTGGGGTTTTAAGAAGTAATTGGCAAAATTCTCATAGATTTTTGCTTTAAATCAGAATGGAGACACCTAGCGACCAAATAATCGTCCTTTAAAGTATATTGTATATGAAACAAATAAAAATATATTATAAAATATTAACCATAAACAATAAAATTCGATGATTAAAGGTTGTAATATCTAAATGATTTGTTTGAAATTAAATTTAGTTAATTACGATCTGAGTCGAATATTGCACCTTTCTGAATTTGTATGGACGCTACGTTCTTCGGTAAGAGTCGTGTTTAACAATATTCTCCTAAAGGAGACTCAACGGATAGAAATAAGGTTAGTAGCATCAACATCGAATATTTTTCTACATAAGCATATACCCCCCTTTCATTCTTCATATAAGTTAACAATGTAAATAAACCCTGCTAAGCTGAGTTAATCCGTTGTCAGAAGAATAGTTACGGATTAAAATCTTGGCTTCTGTAGAAAACACCATATTGGAATATGGCTCAAATGAAATAACTGAATTTGCGCATTTGTTGGTTTTAGAATTGTGAATTTTCATTGTATACAACAAAATTAAACACTTTTAAACTTAGAAATACGCCAATATCTGCCACAACGTCAACATCTGCGACATTTTAAAGCAGAGAAAGCTAAATACGTTAACATCTGCCCCATTATAGACCAGATAAAGGTAAATACGTCAACATCTGCCATATTATAGATCAGATAAAGGTAAATAAGACAACATCTGCCACATTATAGATCAGATAAAGGTAAACGCCATATATTGGTAAATAAAGTCCTACTGAGGTTCAGGTGTTACATTGTTAAGAAATTCAAATTGTTGTCATTGGCAATAAGTTTTTTTTGGTATAAACCCCAGAATATTTATTAAATGTTTAGTTTTAGACGCCTTAAGTTATTAGTCAATAAGAAATTGTATAAAAAATTCACTGTCAATGAAAGACGACATTGAAAAGATTCTGTTTTTTAAGGTTGCTGTAATTTTTTTTAATTGTCCTTGTCTTCGTACATGTCAGTATCCTTGTTGTCTTTATCTTTATCTTTGTCCTTGTTTTTGTCATTTTCAATTTCTACACTTTAGTCATGTTCTTGTCCTTTTAGTCTATTTCATAGTCTTTGTCTAATTGTTATTGTTCTTGTCTATATCAATATCCTTGTCCTTGTATTTGACAATGTTCTCGTCTTTGTCAATGTCCTTGTATTTTTCCATGTCCTTGTCTTTGTCCATGTCCTTGTCTTTTTCCATGTCCTTGTCTTTGTCAATGTCCATGTTCTTGTTCATGTCCATGTTCTTGTCTTTGTCCGTGTCCTTGTCTTTGCCAATACGTTAATGGTCTTGTCCATGTCCATGTTCTTGTCTTTGTCCATGTCCTTGTCTTTGTCGGTGTCTATGTCCCGGTTCTTGTCCTAGTCAATGTACATGTTCTTGTCCATGTCCATGTTCTTGTCCATGTCCATGTTTTTGTCTTTGTCCATGTTCTTGTCTTTGTCAATGTCCATGTTCTTGTCCATGTCCATGTTCTTGTCTTTGTCCATGTCCTTAACTTTGTCGGTGTCTATGTGACTATGTCCCGGTCTGTAATTGTCCATGTCCCGGTTCTTGTCCTAGCCTAATAAAACCTTACACTTGTTCACAACTATTAAAAAATTAAATATAAATATATGAAAAATGAGATGTTCAAAGAGGATCGTCATTAGACATGAAACATCATTTTTGGTGTAATTATTTTTGAATGAAATGTGAAGTTTAAAAACTAAAATATATGAAAACTGTGTATCACCATTTTCCTGTATTTCTGAAGTTTATTTTCCTGTATTTCTGGAGTTCATAATTTCCCTCTATTCCTGGAGTTTATTTTCATGTATTTCTTGAGCGCATTTTTCTGTATTTCTGGAGTTTATTTTTCTATATTTCTGGAGCGCATTTTCCTGTATTCCTGAAGTTCATTTTCCTGTATCCTGTAACATTTTCCCTGTGTTTTCTTGTCTCACTGTATCCTTGCATTCGGCCTTTTTATACCCTTTTCCAGGATCCTTGCATCCTTGCATCCGCGTATATCTTTATGCGAGTATCCTTGTATCCCTTTATCCCTGTTTTCTTACATTCAAAAATTTCTGTACCCTGTATCGTTGTAATCATGTATCCCTGTCTCATTGTCTCCATGTATCACTGTATCCCTGTGTTCCTCTATATCTGTATCCCTGTATCCCTGTATCCCTGTATCACTGCATCCTTATATCCTTGTATCCATGTATCACAGTATACTTGTATCTTTGATTCCTTGTATCCTTGTATCCTTGTATCCTGTATCCTTGTATCCTTGTATTCCTGTATCACTGTGTATGTCTGTATCCCGGTATCCCTGTATCTCTGTATCTTTGTATCCTTGTATCCCTGTATTCCTATATTCCTGTGTATCCCTGTATCCTTGCATCACTGTATCCATGTATCCTTGTATTCATGTATCCCTGTATCACTGTGTATGTCTGTATCCCGGTATCCCTGTATCTCTGTATCTTTGTATCCTTGTATCCCTGTATTCCTATATTCCTGTGTATCCCTGTATCCTTGCATCACTGTATCCATGTATCCTTGTATTCATGTATCCCTGTGTATTCCTGTATCCCTATATCCCTGTATCCCTGTATCCCTGTTTGCTTGTATTCCTGTATCCTTGTATCCCTTTATGCGTGTATCCCTGTTTATCCATGTGTATCCCTGTGTATCCATATATCCTTATATTCCTGTATCCTTGTATCCCTGTATGCCTGTATCTTGGTTTCCAATATCCCTCGGTATCCCTGTATCCCTGTATTCCTGTATCCCTGTTTTCATTTTTATCCCTGTATCCTTGTATTATTGTATCCTTGTTTCCCTCTATCCATGTATCCCTGTATCCTTGTATCCCTCGGTATCCCTGTATTCCTGTATTCCTGTTTCCATGTTTATCCCTGTATCCCGGTATCCCTGTATCCCTGTATCCCTTTATCCTTGTATCCCTCTATCCTTGTATCCCTGTATCCCTGTATCCCTGTTCCCCTTTATCCCTGCATTCCTGTATTTCTCTATCCTTGTAATCATGTATCCTTGTATCCTTGTATTCCTGTATCCCTGTATCCCAGTATCTCTGTATCCTTGTGATCCCGGAACAGTGCTAAACACGGACTGCAGACTAGTGAAGCTAGAAATGGCAGGGTTCAACAACCTCCTTTCTCATGTACTGTGTGGATAACAGAGTTCAAAAACTGCGCAAAACCTTGTTGCGGCCCCAGACACAGAGACCGGAAATAGGATTTGTCTCCACGTGCTTATACATTCTGCATGCTTGGCCCACATATCCATCTCTCTTCCTATCCTTCTATACCCTACAGTATTAAAGGGAATGTACGTTTAATTTTAAGCGATCCTCCATATAAAGATGGCAATACCAGATTCACAGTTGTACCCTTACAAGCAAACTTTCCGATCAAATTTGAATGAGATATCATGCAGTGTTAATAATTTGACTATTTTTTATTGCTGGTTCTCTACAACTTGCGTATTTCAACTACAGATAAACACGTTTAAAACTACACTAAGGAACACGGATAAAAAGATACACAAACATACAAGGATACGCAAAGGTACAATGATACAAGGATACTCAAAGGTACAATTTGATACAAGGATACACAAAGGAACAAGGATACAGGGATAAACAAAGATACAATGATATAAGGATACCCAAAGGTAGAAGGGTACAATGATACACAAAGGTACAATCATATATGAATACGTAAAGTTACACTGATACAAGGATACACAAAGGTAAATTGATACAAAGGTACAAAGATAAACAGAGGTACAAGGTACACTTATGTACAAGGATACACAAAGGTACAAGGATATACAAAGGTAAAAGGATACAAAGATACACAAAGGTGAAAGGATACACAATGATACAATGATACACAAATGTACAATAATACAAGGATACACAAAGGTACAAGGATACACAAAGGTACAAGGATACACAAAGGTAAAAGAATACACAAAGGTACAAGGATACACATAGGTACAATAATACAAAGATACACAAAGGTACAAGAATACACAAAGGTACAAGAATACACAAAGGTACAAGGATACACAAAGGTACAAAGATACAATGATATACAATGGTACAATAATACAAGGATACACAAAGATACAAGGATACACAAAGATACAAGGATACACAAAGATACAAGGATACTATGATGCACAAAGGTACAAGGATACAAGGAAACTCAAAGGTACAAGGAAAAAAGGATACACAGTGGTACAATGGTACAAAGGTTTCATGGGTACTGTTGTGAGTCGGGCATTTCAATCTTTGCATGGAAGGTCACTTAAAACTACACTTACAGTCCCTTTAATGCTGGTTCTTTTGATACTATTTTCCTCATTTTTTTACTCCAAATTTTGATAAAATTCAATAAAATGTGGAACTGACATCTACCTTATTTACTCTACAGAGGTTTGGTTCATCACCATCACCAAATTTTAAGTTTTCCTTGTTCTTTCAAGCTTGAGAATCGTTTGTTATTAACTTGTTTAATGTTTATAAAACATATC